TGCATATGACACTTTCATTTTTGGAATTTTGTCTGGTATTACATGCAGGTCCGTAATTTTATACAGTGCTCTTAATTCGCCACACGCTGAATCATTGACATAAGCTTCCACAATATCATTTTGCTACTAAAATTTCGTCATTTACTTCCCAAACCAAATTCTTCGTTAACATATTGTTTCTTATCCCCTTTATCAAATGAGGCCCGTCATACAATGGTATAATTTCTTGTTCTTGTACTATAATTTTTCTTTCTAATTGCCGACTAGATTCTTCGTTAATTTTGAATGTTTCCTTTATTAACATATTTACACCTGCTTGGTTTGTTGGTCCCTGGTCACAAACTGTAGCGATAACGGTTAACCCACAATTTTGAACTTTTTGAATCAAAAATTTCAATAAACTGGCTATACGCGTAGATTTGGTTGTAGATGACGAAAATCCGCAATAAATAGGTTGCTGCCATTTCTTAAAAAGCCCAGCGAGAAAAAATACAAGAGCGTGATCCGCAATTTCTAAACTTTGTTCCTCACCAAAATCTTGAAATCCATAAAATTTATGACTACTTTTTTCGTAATCAATATGAGGCATTATGGCCATTTCATCAAAAATCATGCTACAAATTTTATCTCTTTCTTTCAATTTTAACACAGCTTCCCTCAAGTTATCAAACACTAATTTATTAAATCCAGGATTAATTGGGACCTTATTCAACATCGACATAACTGTTTGTCTAGTTGGAAGAGGAAAAAACTGTCTTAATTTTGAATAATCCCGCCCTGTGTATTTGTGTAAGCACAGTGCAAAAATTTTCTCTTCAGTGGTGTACCTGCGTCCTCTTGGTTTTACATTTCTTTTTCTCAACTGACTCAAACAAAAATTTATAGCGTCCTGTCCTAATACTTTGCTGTTCAGTTTCATTTCAAATTTCGAAAATATTTTCAAACGTTGGCGGTAAGATGCTGCTCTAATTTTATCTCTGCGATTTGGAGGTTTAAAGTGGGACGAACATGTGGATGAAGTGGCAGGAATCTTTCTTAGTTCAGGAGAAGTCCTGTTTTCTAAATCTAAATTCGGTATTATACTGTCTTCCAATATATTGACTTGTTCACCCGAATGCGTGGGCAAATCGCTTAGTGTATTATTAGCAATTTCTAAAAAAATAATTGTTTTGTATTTAACTACTTGGTTAAATACTTAAAGTTACCATTTGGAATCAGTATACTAGGCACAGCAATGTTCCGTAGTTGTTTACCGTTTAGAAAATCAGATGCGGTAAAGTGCAGACTACAAACCCGGTGTGATTTATAAACCTGCGTTGGATCTAGTGTTTGGAGCGCAGGATTTTGGATCCGTTTCAGCCATTCCCTGAACCGTGTTTGGTCTTTTAAGGGATTAGGAAACCTGTGCCCCTTAGCACCAACACTGTAGCACTTGTGGACGCTACACAGCCTCATTTTAAACAGCTAGTTACTCAAATAATAAATAGACAGAAGCACTGACAATGACAGTATTCAAACATTTTTTTGAATAAAAGTCAAATTCCCGGTTGCGCCAGCTATTGGCGTGGTGACGGTGCGCAAAAAAATTTCTTAGGGACTTTGCGTTCTATATTATGGTTTTATTTTATCTATGTACCTCTGCATAGATAAATAATACTACGTAAATAGAATGCAAACTCCCACTTGATTTTTGGTCCCAATAAACGCCCCCTGGTGCCTTGTGGCCGGTGCTAAAGCATGAACTACTAGATGCCTCATTGCTGCATATTTTATAATTAATATTTTATTTTTATTATCACTAATAATATCAAAAACACAGAGTAGAATAATATACAATTTATTAGTATTGTCTACGATTTTTTGACTTTAATTTTTTTTGGTACATTATACAAGCATTTTGATATAATGCATTTTTATGTGTGGAAACTCTTGTATCGCGACCGCTTAAAATTAAATTCAAACCTTTTACAAACGTAAAAATTGTTAAATATATAATTTTATTACATATTTCACTTTCAATTAATTCCTTATGTTCACAATGAAACGAAAATTTGACATGATGAGATACTATAAACGAAATTTTGTTTTTGATGTTGTCGAAAGATGTACAATTGTTTAAAATGATTCTTGAAATATTATAAATTCTGTTAATGTTTTTTATAAAATCTAACTTACAATATTGCAATTTTCTGTTATTACAATTGTATTCTCTTATACGTATTAATTTGTAACATTATTCGTCTTCCGAAAAATTGTTTAAAATTTGGGTTTTACAATATTCACACTTCAAATTTCTTAATGTTTTCGCAACCCAGCCAGACACATAACCAACAATACTTTTATGAAGATCTTTTTCTAAATTATATGGAGACAGTTTTGAAATGTACATATTCACGTTTAAAATTTCGTAACTCGTTTCATTTACTGAAGGTTGATTTATGTTTTTATCCACAAGTCCTTTAATATGAAATAAATCCGGTATGTTCGTTTTCTCGCAGTTTGCGCCCACTGAATTTGAACTATAAAAATTCCGTAATAATAGAGATTTGAAACTTTCCTTAAATTGGGCTGCCGTTAGATTAGTTGCTCGATTTCTTTGACTTCTGATTTTGCCAAAATAGTTTTCAATAACATCTTGATTTAAACATCTAGGTAAAAAATATTTGCACCTGCCCTGTTCTACTCAAATTGTATGTAAATCCACAAAACCTTCTAACGTTGCAATCCAGTTTTTTATACACGGAGGTACTACCATTTTTCCGGCCTCATCGACGAAATACATATCACCCAAAATTTTGATAGCTTCCTTCCAAAAATGTTTATGACCAGAAGATTTAAATACGCCCCCAGAAAATGGTTTTCCGCACCGTGGTTGAAAAGTACTGCCATTTACACTGTCGAAGAGCTTGTCAAAAAATTTTATAATTCGTGCTGTTCCCATTGCCTCCTGTGTTAAACTGCATTCGGCTGTAAAATTAAATTGTAAATGAATCTGTTAATTATTTTTAAATTTGTATTTACTAGATTTAACCAATAGCGTAATAGTCGATGCCATTGAGTGACTCAAAACTTGTGTCGCATAGCACACCTTCATCTTCTGAATTTTTTCCGGAATTACGTGGAGATCCGTAATTTTGTGTAGAGCCCGTAATTCTCCACCTGTTTGATCACTGTAGTACGCATCGATTATATGTTTCCAATTTGCAACCAAAATTTCCTCGCTTGTTTTCCACACTAAATTTTTAGTAAGCAGATTGTTCCTAATACATTTAATTAAATGAGGCGTGTCATATAATGGAATAATTTCTTGATCCCCTAATAAAATTCTTCTTTTAGGTTCCATCCCTTTATGTATATAACGTTGTTTCGACTCATTTAGCAGAGAATTTATAGCTGCTTGGTTTGGTTGGCCTTGATCACAAATTGTAACCAGAATTTTGAATCCACAATTTTGTATTTTTTCAACCAGAGTTTTTATAATAGTTGTCAATATGTAAGATTTTGTAGACGAAAAAGAAAATGCAAAGTATATTGGCTGTTGCCATTTTTTAAACACTCCGCGAATGAAAAAAACAAGAACATGATCTGCTATCTGTAAATTTTGTTCAAATCCAAAATTTTGAAATCCGAAAAATGTATCCCTATATTTGTCACAGTCTATGTGGGGCATTATGGACATTTCATCAAAAATTAATGCACATATTCTATCTTGGTTATTTAATTTTGAAGCAGATTCTTTAAGATTGTCGAAAATTATTTTGTTTATACCAACGTCTACTGGAATTTTGTTCAACATAGACATAATTGTTTGACGTGAAGGCAGTGCAAAAATCTGTCTCATTTTTCTATAACATCTCCCAGACTGTTTATAAAACATTAATGCAAATAATTTATCTTCAGTGGTAAACCTGCGACCCTTTGGTTTGACATTTCGTCTTTTTAATTGTGATAAACAAAAATTTATAGCATTCTGACTTAAAATTTTGCTTTCTAATTTTACTTCAAATTTGGAGTATAATTTCAATCGTTGGCGATACGAAGCTACCTTAATTTTGTTTCTACGGGCTGTACGCGCAATATTCCTAGAATTTGAATGTAAATTTAGTATTCGAGAAGATTCTTGGTTTAAAGTTTCGTTTAGGGTTTCTCTGGAATTTCGAGATACTTCAGTACAAAATTTTTGAGAATCCAGTATAGAAATAGGGTTTACGGGATCATGGGTGTGTCTTTCGGGGTCGTTCATATTATCTGAAATTATTGTAAAGATTATCTATGGCATTCACTTGCACACAAATATTTACCATGCATAATTTGAATTGTAGGAATAGCAGTATTTTTAAGTTTTTGATTGGGGCCAAAATCCGTTTCTTTAAAATGTACATCGCAAAGAAAATATCCATTTTTATATATTTTCATGGGATCTAATTTGCCTAAATTTGGATTCCCTGTCCGTTCCAACCAAATTTTAAAACGCTCGTTGTATTTGTAGGGGTTGGGAAAACGATGGCGTTTAATAATTTTAGTGTTTAGACATTTCAAAACACTGCATAGTTTCATATTTTACGCTTTGTTATCACGTATAATCACACAAATGACACTTTTATACTAATCATAAATGACATTAGTTTTTTTATTGTTTCTTAAAATTGGCTGTGGAAGTTGTCGCCAAGTAATTTTTGGAAAAAAATACTTTACTGCTATCAGTGCTATCTCTTATTATGTGGCCGGTACATAAGACACAAACCTGGGACACGCATTACAGCCGACTTTGCATTCTATTTTACGTAGTATTATTTATCTATGTACCTCTGGACAGGCCATAATCTTTATATGTACTAGTCGGCCATGGTTACACGATCACAGTCAAGGCCAAATTTTGAATTTTTAAATTTTTCGCGGGCCTTTCAAACTTTTTCAAGGTCAATTAGAGGCGGGAAGATTGGGTTATCACAATATGTTGCATAAAACACACAAAAGTAAAAAAAAGTTAAGAACACCACTTTAAATGTTAGCACATTTATTTCTTAAGTTTACAATACAATCTTCGTGATCAGCCCAGCAGCTATTGTCACGCCGCCTACCCTCAACATGAATCTTCCCAACTCCTTACAGTCACTGTATAATTCAAGCGCAATTGGTCTTGAAACTTGAATTTCGACTATGGCACTTGTATTGTTGCTCAAAAATCTTGGATGTTTTTTGACTACTTCTCCCGTGCTGCGATTCAATTGAGATATCAACTTCCTGACAACAGCGGGTTCCACCAAAGATTGATGATGCAAAATCACCTAAGAGGAAGGCTGCATTTTCATTATCCAATAAATTAAATTTAACTTACCGAAAATCCCTTGGTTATCGGGATAGTCAAATTGAAAACAACAATTCGTGCCTGGAATTTGGATGAAACTTGAACAGGATTTTGCGGGTCACATAGGACGTTTCCGATAGAAACATTTTGCATTTCTATGCCGGACAATGTAACCGTTGCTTGATCGCCAGCAAAAACAACTGTTTGAGATAAATCTTCGATAAAGAGTGATTTTACTACGGAAAGTTCTCGGTTTGGACACACCATAATTCGATCTCCAACGTTTAAGCTGCCGGTTTCTACTCTACCTGAGACACAAAAGCCAGAACCCGTACCCTAAACAAAGATCATTTATTAATAATTATTTCATCACTGTTAAAGCTTCACTTTACCTTAAATATGTCGTTGACAGATAGTCTAAATGGTTTAGATACAGGGCGATCGGGTGTGCGAAAATTATCTAAAAAGAATTTTATTAAGTATACCCTCATTGGAAATATTAATTTTTTTTTTCATTTTGCAAGAGACAAATTAATTAGAACTTAGTAAAATATATAGATAAATATCAGCAAACACAAACTATTTAATATTATTAAAGTTTTCTCTTAATTTGGTAGCGTAGCATTAACACTAGTTTTCTAACGATTCAGTTAAACGAAAATTGTTGAGACAACTTAAAATTTAACAAACTATATACCGTGCGATCAAAAAACAACTTAGAGTTGGCTGTGAGACACTACCTGTACAGTTACAAAAGGTATTTACTGTATAACTGACACATCGCGTCACAGTGTCAAAAATTAAATAATTACAGCATAGATCCATGCATTTATATTATTTCCACACCCTGTGACAAAAAGTAGTTCCTAAAGTTTATACTGACTTTAATTTACGACAAATTGAGGACAGCAGTCCCATCCAAACATTGACAGACAACGCCAACAAAGGTATTCAACTACAGGTAAAGAAGCATGTTATCCGTATGTTTCAAGTGAGTTTTCCATAACAAACCTTTGTTATGATGTCATCAACCGTTCTTAATTTGGTAAATAAAAAAAAGTTGCGGCCCGGCATTGATCCGAGGACTTGTCATCTTCGAAGCGGACACGCCACCGGTTGTGATTATGGACGTTCATATTCTACGTTTAACGAACAAGACGTGTTACATATGACAGAATTAGTGAAAAAATAGTTAAATTGCTCAGGAAGTAGCAAACTGGTTTTAGAAAAGGCAGGTCAATGTATTGATCAAATATTAACACCATGAATAATCTTGGAGGAGAGACTCAATTGTAATACTTTTCGTCAACTTTGCAAAAACATTTAATAGCATAAACCAAGATGCTCTCTGGGAGATACTTAGGAAATTGTGTTAAAATGCCACAAAAAATTATCCAGACAATAAAAGCATTATATGTATATTAGGGTAACGTGCCTTATCTTACACTCGGAAAGTAAAAATGAAGAATTATTGCTAATTTCAGAAAATAATTTATATAGTTAGGCAAGAAAGAGGCGAGATTTTGAAGTACAATTAAACAAATTCAATTTTTTAGAAAAACTTGGGACTTTCGCGTAATTATTAGCACTTTAACCTCTAAGACTATGACCGGTTGCTGTACTATAAAATGTCGTAATACAATTCTGATTTACTTGTGAAATTCTGGATGCCCAAGGTTAAAAACTTAAAGCGGATTCGTAACCCACAAGTACAGGAGGATGTTATTTTATAAAATTTAAATAGCATTTACTATGCAAAATTATGAGGTGACATCATCAAATTATTGATGTGAATGATTAGGCTAATTCTGGTTAGTGTTTTACCATCTACTCTACACCATAATATGTGACAACAATTGAAGTGCCTAAAATTATTCGTTAATAGAAATCAACACAGACGATAAACAGACAGACTGAAACGGGAGACCTATTTTTTTATTCTCTAGGGGATCATGGAAGGTCGAGAAAGTATGGACCCTAGTGCAATACCTCTGTAAGTTATGATTTATGAAATAATGTAAGACGATGACGGAACCAAATATTTTGAAAATTAGTGTAGATTCAAAAAAATTCAAAGATTGACAGAAGATATTGTGGGGACCCTGATGCCTCTGTTCTAAATTTTGTTCATTTACTAAGTGCCCCAATTTTTTTCCGATTTCGTTCAAAATCTACCCCTTAGGTCCCGGACCTGTGAAGAGCCTCTTCGAAAGGTGAGAAGCGTAAATTACAACATGAGAGATGATTTTCCATAGGGATTGTGGTGACCGAATTTGAATCAAAATTTCGCGCTGAAATTAATTAACAGCGGCGCGAAATCGCATTTGAATAATTTGAATTTGAGAAAAAAAACTCAATAAAAAAATCGTTAAACATAGGCAACCATGTGCACTTTAGCGCTTTTGGGTAGTGTGTAGTCCGCTTGAGATTTTAGTTAGAGGGTTGGTTAGAAGAGGGCGGTTTGGTAGAAGATGGCGTCTTCGTAGCGAGGTGAAAGCGTCTCTGTGTGGGAGCATGGTGAAAAAGACGCTGTAAGTTAGCTAGGTTAAGTTAATTGGCTTGGTAGTTAAAAAAAGGGAGAAAGCCTTTGTTTAACGACAATTAATCGTAACGACGACAACACCACCATTTTTCCCAACACGCGCAGCTAATTCTTGCGGCTTTCTAATCGGAAAAAATGCTAATTTTCGACCGACACTACACGTATTGTAAATTTGTTTTATTGGTTGTAAATTCACCGATCAGGTTAGGATTTTAATCGTTAACTCGTTCTAGCACAATTTAACAGACATCAGATTTGTTTAGACAAACACTTGCTAGGAGATTTCATGAAATTCACTGAGTCAGGACTCGTTTGATTTTGTATGTCTAATTACGAATAACGTTTCTAGATGCCAATACTGAAGTGTTACATTATAACACTTTTTAAATACTTCACACAAGATTGCTAATAGTTCATTAATGGCAGTTAAATCAACAAAATTCATAATATCGTGCACTGAAGGAGGAATATCACCATCACATCACCGAGAACTATTTCCTCGCTACGTCATATCAGCGAGGCATTTCCTCGCAACGTGGAACATCGCCAAGGCATTTCCTCGCATCGTTAAAAATTACATCACCGAGACGCTTACTCCTCGCAACGCTGACTGGATATTTTTGTGTTTATTTATCATGTGTTTTGTTGCTTTGTTTGAGGTAAACAGTTCACAATATAAACCGTCAAAACAAATTGTTATAAGTAACCAATCACTTGGATCAAGGCATCATTGAACATAATGTAAACTATTTGTTTGAATCGTTGATAAAGTGTGGCAAATATTAATCTCATGTGTTTTTTTTTTTTTTTTTTTTTTCCTAATAATAATAATAATAATAATTTTGTTAGCTTTGCAATTTTTCACCTCATACAATTTCTCTATCTCACAATTTTAACTTCAGTAATTTTCTTTGTTGTCTAATTTAAATTGAACGTAAACTTTCATGCTCTGTAGTTTCTAAACTCACGCAATATTTTATCTGTACAAGTTTATTTCACACCAGATCTTTTGTTTTTATAAATCTTTGGTAGTTTTTTTTATTTTGTAAATATTTTGTTGATTCATGTTTGCATCATATAAATTGTCTGATGTCCAATTTTTAATCTCAGATAAGAATTATTTGTTGTTTACAATTTTACAAGATTGTATGGCGAATTTAAATGTTGTTTATTGCTCTTTTTGAAACTTTAACACTTGTTCAGTTGTCGTTAATATCAGAGTTATCAGAATTGAACATATAAATGGAATTGAGGTTAAATAACACAAAAACACGTGGTGGAAGCGGAGTGCGCGGTTCCTAGTCGAGCTGGCGGATTTATCGCGCCATCTACACAAAGATGCAGGTTAGATGAGAATTCAGGGGGCCTTTCAATTTTTTTTCACAGGATCTATTAATACGCCAGTAATACATACAAGTTAAACGAGTCATACCGAGTTAACTTATTTTCTCCTAAAGTTGCGTCATGATTACGCCCACACCATAGTAAATGATAATATACATGAAGATTAAGCTAGCTTAAGAAAACAAACATGGTTGTTACCATTGCAATATGTACAAAATATAACAGAAGGTCAATGGGGGTTGATTGAGCGAGAAAAAATGAGGCCAGCACCGCAAAGAACAGACTCTTCCAGTACGGTACGGAGGGCCCGAATATAGCAGGAAAATGAACCGATACGGAGGATCGATGATCTGTTGGATTAGTTGCATTAGTCACAACAGTAAACGATCTTGGACACCAGTGGCGGCTGGTGGGTCAAAATTCCGGGTCGGCCAAATATTTTGAGTCTACACCTTGGTGTTATATATTTTCGTAATGTATGGCTGCTACTCATTAACCACTGACATTTTACGTGCCAGGATGTACAAAACATCTCAAATGTTTCGACCTGTTAAAATAATTTTTTATAGGAAATTGACAATGTCAGTTTGATTCCAAATACTATTAATCCTTAATTCTACTTGTTCTGCTTTATCATTAATTGAGAACCACCGAAAACATTATTTTTACTGAGTTCCGCGTCGACCGGCGGCTATACGGCTTGCCGACCCCGGACATCCACAATTAAATAATAATAATTAAATAATGACATGCAGTTAAAAAATATAAAAAAAGTAATAATAAAAGTACCAACTGTTAACTATCTTCATTTACATTTATTTTTTTTTAATGTATATGACAAATTGTCAAATAAATTAATTGAATAATTGAAAAATTAAAACGATTTAAAACTTTAAATTCGTTTCTGAAATATCTGAAAACGCTTAGATGCTAAAAATACAGAAAAAGCGCATTTATGTTGTAGCTAAGTTATGTTCGAAAAATAAAATTTTAGATAATTTAATGTAATTTTTTTCGTTTATTATTCATACACAGGAAAATGTATTATTAAATCGACAATTATTATTATTAAAAAAAAATAGGATGCACTGAAGAACATCGAAGCCGTTATTGTTTTGTAATTTGGTTAGCTATCTTAAATATTAAGCGTTTTAAAAACTAAATTCGCGTTGCTGGGTACGGCGAAGGAGGATTTCGCCGGACCTGGCACAACATACGTTCCGCCAGGTCTTTGTCTACTACAGTGTACTAGACAAAGGGAACGATGAAACCGTAAGCTGCTACGAAGTCGAAACATCGAGCATAATGCATTCCTGGGTACGGCGTGCCGAAATCTCGCCGGCAAAGCGTGTTTATCAGCATTTAAAATTAGCGACAAATGCTTTATTTTGTACCTACAATATAATAAAATATATTTTTAATATATATGATCTATCCTAACGTACATTCAAACTTTATTTCTTTTTTTATTTTCTAATTTCAACGCTTACTAAGTATTTTAAAATGACTGGTACGGCGTGGCCGACCCTGCCGCCCCTGACCAGCCGCCCCTGTTGGACACACTCCGCCACTGTTTAGCGATAGTTTCAAACCTAGAGGAGTGGTAACTCGAGTGCTTAGTCGTAAACGGTCTTTAGGTTTACATTTAGAGATTAACTAACCCTACTAGCAACAAGAATGATCTTAGACACACACTCACTGGATGGCCGAGCCTACTGAATTGAACTGATAAAGTCCAATTTCGTATCCTAGGGATTTGGTCAGTGGGAATGGTGTGAAGAATGCATAAAAATGCATTTCCAATTAATTTGTTGCCGCCAGATCAGTAATGAACGAAAATGCGAACACTGCACATTAATTGCTATTGCTATGAGTTGATTGGCTCGAAGATCCTCATATTTGGTAAGGCAATTTTCGTCTATATTTGGGGAACAAAATCTAGACAAAGAGATTAGTGCGATGTGATTATGCGGGGGCGTGAAAAGTAATACATGGTTTTGGTAGCTAGGCCACTTGAGCATGATTCCCGAGCTCAGATTTTTGACAAGAGTGTGAGGCACTTTTACGAGAGGCGAAGTTATTTAAAAACCGAATTTCCGATCCGAAACAATATGCTTCTTTGGAGTACCCATTCTATGCTCAAATTAATGTTATCGCTCAAAAAAATACTGACATTAGCAAAATCGATAAGTTAAATTCGTGTTTAAAGAGAAAACTTACCAGAAGGCAAAGATCAAAGATAATGGGATTTCTTAGTGTTGAAGTATTATTATTATTATTCTATAACGATCATTTTTACTTTTTTTGTATTGAAAGTTTGTCAATATGCCGAACTGACAAAAATGTTAATACTGAATTGTTGTCTATTGTGCAAAACAAAAAAAAATCCAAGTACTGCATGGAAATTGAAGAATCAAAACTTACCAATCACTTCCAATAGGCATGGTCCACTATACCACGTAAGCAACTCATTTTCAGTCGGCTTCTGCGTTAAATTTTGTCCAGTCAGTCCACTACAAGGAACAAAAGTCACGTCTCCTTCTCTGAATCCAGCTTGTCTGAGAAAAGTTTTAAGTTTTTGGGAAATCTCATCAAACCGTTCTTTCGACCACGACACTGTATCCAGTTTATTGATGGCCACGGCTAATTGAATAACGCCCAAAGATCTGACAAGAAGAGCATGTTCTCTTGTTTGGCCTCCAAAGTCAAAGCCAGTTTCAAATTCCCCTCTAGTCGCATCAACTACTAATAATGCCACATCAGCTTGTCCTGCCCCTGATATCATATTAGGTATAAAATCTTTATGACCAGGAGCGTCCAATAGAGTTACGTGTTTGGTCTTTGTCTCGAATTGAGAGCGACCAACATCCATTGTAATACCTCTATTCCTCTCTTCTCCAGTTTCATCCAGAACCCAGGCATACATGAAACTTTGCTTTCCCAGCTTTCTGCTTTCCTGTTCGTACTTATGCATTGTTTTTTGGTTGACCTAAGTAATGTAAAGTTACTAAATTTATTTTTAAGTCATTTCACGAACCTGTCCTAAGTCGTATAACAGATGTCCCATTAGCGTTGATTTTCCAGCATCCACATGTCCTATCACCACCATGTATAAGTGTTCTTTTGATTCTCCTCGTTCTTTCTTATACTGAGTTTCGATGTCGATTTTATTTTCTTTGGTCTTGCCAACTTTCGAATCTTCCGAAACTGCTTCAGTTTGAGAAATTACGGGTGTGCCTCTACCAGAAGCAGGTGATTGAGAACGTGGGGTTGTGTTGAGTTTTACAGTGTCTTTCTGACTTATATCGAAACCCTTCGTTACGTTTGTAGTTGTCTTTCCACCAGATGCCACCACTTTTATGCTGGGTACTTTAAAACCGACGAATAAAACTTAAGATTTTCGTGTGCAATTAATTTACAAGAGATTGATATAAAAGAAGTATGTCGGTGAATTACACGTTTTTACTTTTTCTTAAAGTTAAAATATTATGTACCCTATCCAATAATATTACCAACCATTTACTTAATTATAATTTTCAGAAATATGCACAACATTGTTTAACAATTTTCGTTTTAAACACTGAACAACTTACCATTCACCAAGTTATAATTAAAAAACTTTACTAATCATTAAAGTCTAGGTCAAAATTGATGTACAAGTTGTTTATAAAAACGATTTGCTTGTGACCCAATCATGTTTATGATTTCTAATGAACATAATTTCAAACGGTAAATATGTTAAACCTCTTACATTAAAAATTTCAAAAACAATACGAACATTGTTCTAAATCGACATTTTACAAACCAATATTCTTGAAGACATAATCATCTTTTCTGGAGATCAAATAACAATTTTTATTTAACTGAATATATACGACTTTGTTACGTATACGGCAGTATGTACAGTTATATCATTATAATCAAAATATACTAAAAACCGTGATGTGTTTAACTAGTTTTTACAATCATAGGCAAGCCAAAAAAATGTATTATCAATGAAGTCATATTTTAGCATTGCCCTAGTCATAAGTTATGTACGAGTCGGTACATTCACTATTAAATAATTTGTACATTTCAAGATGAGCGAAGAGATCGTGGAATTTAATTGACTAAATCTACACAAAACCTGAATTACCCTAATTATAAAAATATGTAATTACTTATTTCCATACCCTTTAAATTTGTACAAATAATTCTTATTAATGTAATATTATTACCTACCACAAAATTTACACCGTGAATTGTCATTTTGAACATTTACTATGCAATAATTACATGTAAAGATGATTTGTCAAATTTTCAAATGTTTCATAATATTGTCGTCAGGTGAAGGAGTAGAAAAATTAAATCTCGACAAACTTCTCCTAACAGCATGACTAGTTTTAATTTTTATCTTGCAACGTCTTCTGTACTTTAGGCACAAAACTTTTCCAAAGTGTGAAACTGGTTTCACGTTGTTTAGATACACATTTAAAACATCTTTGATATCAAAACAAGACTTGAGAACAGTTTTGGTCTCTAATTCAACATCACAATCAACAAAAGGAATTTCGAATTTTTCTTCTTTCAATTCGTGTTTGCTTTTACTTGGTAAACTCTGTGCACTAGGTGATTGTTTCAAAGCCACTGATAAATCTATCTGATATTGGTTTGATACAGAATCTACTTCTGATGCGGCAGGTTGAACAATTTTTAAATTATCAACGTTATGAGTTATTTTATCGATTTGGTTAGTACAGTCAAAAGAAAGCTTATGTTTTAGAGATTTACTTAAGTGACTTGATACCAAATCAGAAAGATTATTAAATTTTTTGCTTTCACCAGCAGATGAATCAGTTGGTTTTTTCTCAGAAAAATCTCCTATTTTAGGTACTGTGAATGTTTTTGACGATGTGTTGTCACTAGACGCAAATTTACTTAAAGAAGGGATATTAAATCGTTTTGCGGAAAATTTATCATGTCTCAATACAGGTGACTCGAAATTTGAATTTACACCATTCAATCTTGGCACAAAAAATTTTGAAGAACCGTGTGTAACACCTTACCTTCCAGAAAAAGAAAAAGAAAAAATAAATAAGATATTTAAAATATATTGTAGCAATCTTCACCTTTCTCCTTACGTTCTGTCTGCACATTTTTCATGTCAAGTATAGTATTGGTGGCCTTCTCAACGTCATAACTGTTTGAAATTACAATGTTTGCCAATTCGTTTTTTGAAATAGTTAGTGGTCCTAAAGTATTTTTAATTTGTTCTATGCACGATTCTAATCTCGCTTTATCTAAATCTGATAAATCGGTCGCCTGCAATTGATATTAATTAGCAAAGACAAATGGTTAAAATCAACCATTCATACCAACTCTGACTCATCTTCCTCTTGAATATCTTGTTCAGTACGAATAAATTCTCCTATTTTCGGCTGATCTCTTGAATTTTCTCGATTAAAAATAAACTGCCTGTTACTTGGTGAAATATAGTAATCATCATCAACAGAATGTCCATAAACATCATCGTAACCGTCGTAATCTACAAAATAAATCATAACATGAGCTAAGCATGATTATTGACGAACATCTGTACCTTCTGTGTAGTCCATATTTCGGACATCGCGGTGTCGTGACATTTTTGCCGAAATTAATGTGAATATTTACACTTTTAAATATAATACATGCTCAAATATACACTATAATGAAATAACGAGTTGTTTTATTCTACACCGTCTTCTCAGAGCGACATTTTGACGGATTTTTTTGTAGTGTTGTTGACGTTACGTCAGTACAAGTGAACTACTTGTCTTTTATGGGATAAAGAATCTACACACAATTCGTGAGATAATGCAACGCGGTATACAGAATAAACTAGAAACGACACTTCAATTCTCTGTAAACTTCCATAACCCCTCTACAAACATACAGGTGGTTTTAAAGCAAAATTTTAAATTACCTATTGGGTATTTGGATGAATATCTAAAAATAAAACAACCTAACTATGTATAGTTTATTTACAAAAAAACGCTAATTTTCACATATTTACAAGTAGTACAGTCGGAGACCGACAAAACAGGAAAACATGGGCAAGAAAAAGTTCACTTGATGGCTTTCACAACAATAATATCATCATGTTTATCTCTAGTCGCTTGATAAACGTCACGTTCTTTATCTGGGTACTTCGTAGGTAATATTGGTGAGTGAATATTAACTTTAGCATTATACCTGAAAAAAAAAGGATATTAATTTATCATGGTATCTTGAACTTGAAGTTTAAATTTCACAGTGAGAGCAAAAAAAAAACAACCCGTGGAACCGCATTTGAAAAATTAAAAATATGAAAAATCATTCAATAACTTATAGAATTGCGCATGCATGTTCTAGAATCTAGCGCGTTTAGAGAATTAGTGGATCATTTCTTGTTTAGTGAGTGTAGTGAAAACACTTATTATTAAAGATACGTCTAATTTGGTTAGGAATTTCAAAAAAGGGGAATTGTTTAAACAAAAATTAATCACATTCGAGGCCACAGTCCTCCTCACCGAGCGTAATTGGTGCAATATCGGTTTATGAATGATTTTTTAATCTCAAATATGTAGAACTTTGATTATTTGTGTATCACATGTTATTTTGGTTTTATTTTTTGTAAATTCACAGTACATTTTAAGATTTTTTTCTGTTCATGGTTTTAGTCTAGTAGGTACAATTTAACTACAATTAAGTAGATATGTATATAAAACACCTGGCAGAAAGTTCACTTATTCGAGTTTAATCCAGTTTAAATGTAAAGTTATTACATTATAACACACTTTATAACTTCTCACTCGAAATTTATTTTTAGAGAAATGACCTTGAAAATTTTCATCAGTCAAATTAATAACGTCGTGGACTGGTCATGTGGTGTTTAATTGGCGCATGCTATTTTTACTTCCCGAGCTAACGAAGTACAGTAATCGAGTCCATCGGACGAATTGCCACTTTCATATTTTCTCAACGACTCTTGAAGTCTTGACCTCTAGAAAAAAGTGGTCTCCCGTTTTCGTCCGTCTGTCTGTCTGGTGTCTGTATCCATTTTTATTAGACAAGTAATCTCCGAAACTACTGCAACGATTGTTGTCACATTTTGTATGTGTAATACGAATATCATATATAGTCTTTGCCATTTCTATTGAAACACCACTTGTTAATCGTAAATTTGGCAACGTTCATATTCAGACAATTTTCTAACTAAAAGCCGTTGTCAATCAACCGAAACCTGTTACCAATTGCTAAATTTTAAGCAAAATCAACAGGTGGTGTTTCAATAGAAATGGCAAAGACAATAGATGATTAAACGCTAACTAAAATTTGGCGAATCAACCCCACCACCTGACGTCATCTCCAAAATTTATATATTTTTTTAATTTGATAAAATAAAATGTGTGGTGTGTGAATCCGTGTCGAATTTTCACCCTAGACATCCCGAATTTTCGGAAACAATTTAAAACTGAATAATAATATTTTGCAATATAACTTTGAAACTGTTATCGTAATTATGGTAAATCGTTAAGCAAAATTTATTCCTTTAGCCCCTCCCAAAAGATTGATGACATCTCAAAATTTTGCTGAATAAATTTTTAGCATTTCGAAATTTTCGATTTCTCCTTTTCTCAATTTCTCTATAAATCGATTCTTTGCTCTTTCGATTTCTCGATTTCTCAGTTTTTCAATTTCTCAAGTTGTCGATGTTTTAGCATTTTTCAATTTTGGGATTTTTCAATATTTCGATTTTTTGATTTCTTCATTCAATTTTTCGACATGTTAATTTTAAGTTTTTTAAATATTAGATTTTTCACTTTTTTAATGTTTCGATATCTCCATCTTTCGATATTTCGACTTCTTGCTTTTAGATTTTTCGATCTGTTGATTCTTCAAATTCTCGATTTTTTATTTTTCGATTTCTCAATTTTCCGATATTTCAGTTTTTCGATTTTTTGATGTATTGATTTTTCACTTTTTTGATGTTTCGGTATCTCTATCTTTCGATTTTTCGACTTCTCGCTTTTAGATTTTTCGGCTTTTCAATTTTTCGACATTTTAGTTTGAGAATTTTAAATTTTGTCGATTCTTCAAATTTTCGATTTTCCGATATTTCAGTTTTTCGAATCTTAAAATTTTTCGATTTTTCAATAATTCAATTTTTGGCGTTTCGAACTTTTCGATTTCTCAATTTTTCGATTTTTTGATTTCTAGATTTTTCAAGTTTTCGATGTTTCAGTTTAAGGATTTTTCAATTTTTCGGTTCTTCAACTTTTCGACATCACGCTTTTAGATTTTTCGCTTTTTCAATTGTTTGATTTTTAAAATTTTTGATTTTTCAATTTTAAGTTTTCCGATTTTCCAATTTATCGAGATTTCGATGTATCGATTTTTTAATTTTTCGATTTATCTGGTTTTTTAAGTTCAATGCTTCAATTTCAAATTTTTCATTTTCGATTGTTCGATTTCTGGGCTTATCATTTTCTCAATCTTTTCATGTTTCGATTTCTATGTTTCAATTTTTCGACATTTTAGTTTTGGGATTTTTCAATTTTTCGATTTCTAGTTTTTTGGTCTTTCTTTTTAAATTTTGTATTGACGATTTTTTTTTTCATTTTTCGAGTTTACGATTTTTTTTCTGTTTCGAATGCTCGATTTTAAACTTTTTAGTATGTATGTATGCAAAGTCATTTAATAGACTATTAACTAACCTTGGTATGTATGTATGTAGAAGATACTTATTTCAATTTTTCGAATTTTAAAATTTTTCAACTTTTCATTTTTTTGATTTCTTTCATTTTTAAATGTTGGAAATAAGTTCCTCAACAGCTTATTTCAACAGTTTTTTCTTCTCAATAATGGAGGATTAAACAATTTGTCCTCCATATTTTGCACTTTGATTTAGAGATTCCTTTCCAACCTTATGATTCACCATTTTTTAATTTTTCGCGGGTTTTAAAATCTAACACATGTATAATTTTGGCGGGATGTTTGGGTTCATAAATCATATTTCAATAAAAAAAGTAATGTTCTTGCAAGGGTGTTCCATCGCCTTATAATTTTTAATAACTACTCTTAATACTGAAGCAAAATAATAGTAGTTCTAAACGTGTTCAAGGTTAAAAATAATCTTTTTGGTTAACTTTGCTTGTTTTACTCTGTACCATATATGTATGTTAACTTAATAAAGTTTTACATCAAAAACAGTTTGTGTTAAATTCAATTAAAGCCGATGTAACTCTTTAAAAATATCCAAAACAAGCATGGTACCTACTTGCTTTGACAAACAATTATTATTTGTTTATGAATTTTTATACAACGCGTTCCACAATAATAAGTATCGTAATCTTCTGAACACTAGTTTTTCGGTTGTCTTTTATTGTATCCAAATTTATATGTTTGTAATTTAGTTTATAAAAATACAGACCTTATTCCAGCTATATCCACTTCATAATCCCCATTCTGAACATACTCATTTGGTACTCTCATTAATTCTCCATTTTCGTCTGGATTTTCAACAAAACCTAAACAAACCTGAAAACCACCAAAAATCCAAGTCCAATTTAACTATTATATTATTGAAGCTATAAACATTACTTGTTTTTTAAATGTAAATCCATAACCAGTTGTGGTACACATTCCAACGTATCTCCCATCTCTATAAACTGGTTCGCCACCCCAAGGCCAAAGATCAGTCTCATGGCAATGATCATTTAATATCAATTGTATATACATTCTTTTAATGCCTTCCTCGCGTTGCTTCAATAAAGCATCTCTACCAATAAAATCAACTTTTTTCTGTAAAGCGTATAAATAATAAAATATATTAAATTATAAAGTGATCACAGAAATTACTTACATCAAATTTGACTCTCCACACTCGACCACACTCTAGAGGTGTCGTTCTTGTGTCTAAATCTTGTCCCCAAAAAGCGTAGAATTTTTCAACTCTCAATGCCCTCGTAGCATAATATCCTGCGTGTTTAATGCCATACTTCTCTCCAGCTTGAATTAATCTGGAGTATACGTGTAACGCAAACTCATTTGGTATATACAAAACGTAGCCCAATTCACCAGTATGTGTCAAATTCATTGTTCTTATACCATTTGCCAAACCAACATCCAACATTTTAAAGGTAAAAAATGGGAAATTTTTGGGACTTAAATCAGTATCAGTTAGTTCAGAGAGCAGAGTTCGTGTAAAAGGACCCATTATAGCTAAGGCTGTAAACATACTAGTAACATCAGATAACGTTACAGATGGAGGAAGATGTTTTTGTAACCATACTTTACATCTCGTTTGTTGGATTGTGGGTGCTATCATCATATAACTAAAAATGTGGATTAATGGAAATCAAAAGGTACCTAGACACCATTTACTGATTTTCGGATAGTCGCGCCAAGGAGCAATCATTTTCATATCCACCGTATTTGTTTTGCATTCCCGTGTGAATAATACTACCAATTGGCACATCTACATCATTTGAGCAAAGATATTGTAAAGCGTCAACAACTTCGTTTCCTTTAGACTAAATAAATATTCAAAAATTACGTAGCATGAGAAGACTTCGTTTCATACCCATAAATCAATTTTTGTGAAGGATGAATAGTCACTAATTCCTATTCTTTCTCTACACGCTGCGTATTCTTCGGCAACATTATCGAACCAAGGAGGTTTTCCAAATGTGTTTGTGTACGCCATTCGATTCGGGGTTGACCAATCTTGAGATTCTCCTTCTAAAAGAAAAACACAATGATATAGTTTTCATCAATATTATCTGCACGTCTGCATAAAAAAAGTAAAGCCTGCCACAATATTACAAAATATCAGATTTTTTCATCTCTAAATAATAAACTTGCCTGAAGATTGTCTTCTATCAAACCAAGCTGGTCTTTCATACCCCATGACTTGTCCAAAAACAGCGCCCGCTTCACGTAGCTTTGGATAAACGGGCGACATTCTCAAATTTCGACCAGTTTGAAATTCGTGGAAAGGATAACAAAGCCCATAATGCATTCCAGGCACCTCTTTAACTCGATCGCGCAAAAATTTTCTGTTATTATGCAAACCGAGAAAGCGGGAGACTTCTAATTCATACATGTCAAATGAAGTTTCTCCGTTGACTATAATTTCTGCAGTCAGTTTACCGACACCTCCTGCTGCAGAAATTCCTACCGTTTTCATTCCAGCGGCTACTAAATAATTTCTTATCTAAAATTGGAATTAATTATTGTTAGATCATAGTCCCTTGGTATGAATTACTTCAGGAGCTTCACCAACAATCCATTTGCAATCTGGACTAAAAGCTTCGGGACCATTACATAAACGGTCTAATATTGCCGACCCCAAGTGCGGAACTCTGTGAAGAAGTTGTTCAAGTAATATATGAAAATGATCCCAGTCTTCTGGCAGATATCTCTCTTTACTGCTTGCTGAAGTATTTAATCAATTATTAATTGTTAGATTGTCAATTTCAATTTAATTGCAGAAGACACACAAAACAACTACGATTATCTTCAGTTAAATGGTTGGAGCTTGGTACTTTTCCGTATCGAATTAAACGCACCAAAAATGACGGTATTTAATTTAGCAAATCAAAATATGTTTAATTCTGTTAATTTCAAACTTTCGTAAAATTACTGATTATGGTCACAATTATGCATTAATGTTTTGCGCAATTTCAGAACACTGATTCCCCTTAAACTGCAAGCTACTGCATTTTTGTTACAGACAAATAGAAAGAAATGATTCAATTTATAATGGAAGTAAGTATAACAATTAATTTTAATATTGATTATGTAAGGCTAATCACAAAGCGTAATGTACTACTAACTTTTAGATGACGTGATCAATTTTCCAGAAAGATAAATAAATACATTTTATTGATATTAGGGCAGAAAATAGGAAAGGGGTTTTTGACACGAAATTTTTTTAGTTTTGTAGGGTTGGTACCAATGTTTCGAATTTAATCAATGATTACACCTTTAATTTTTGCAGTATAATAGTTAAGCAGATATGCAATACGCTCAAAGCAATTTTTTTCTCCATTTGTAACTTAATTATATCGTGGCTATCATAGATGTCCCTCATCGGATGTCTAAAAAAAGATTTTTAACTGTTCATGGCTCTAATACAATTTAACAACAATCATGGAGAGTATTCCTATATAAAACACATGGCGGAAATTCACTCATTCAGTCTTCACTTCACAAAGTTCTAGATGTCTTCAATTAAGTGATTACATTATCCACAACTTATAACTTCTCACTCGAGATTTAATAATAGTTCCTTTATGGAATTTAAACTAATCTTTGATACACTTTGAAAGGACCTTGAAAATTTTCAGCAGTTAAATTAATAACATCGTGGATCGGGGAGACCTGAGGTTAATTTGTTTTTTTTTTTTTTTTGTTATTACTCGTGTATCATCGTTCGACAATCTGAATTTGGAGATTTTATTGTTGAGAGATTCTCGCAAACATGGGACGCGTACCAAACCCGCTTGATTTTTATTTTAACCGAATTTAGTATTTTTCTCTTGTGTTTATCTCCATATGCGCTTTGTTTTATGTAATGTTTGGTTCACTTTCGGTCCACCACGATGTGAACAGATATTTGATTTAATCATTAACTTTAATTAATGCATAATTTTAATTTAACCTCAGGTAAATTCTTGATATAGTGTGGCATAATTACACTTTGCTTATTCCTTCATCTGTAATTATAATACTCATTTTGCTATCGTCAAAATTCGGTAACTTTTTAACTGCGAAATAAACGCATAGGATCGAATGGCGAACACACACTCAAATTGAGAGTTTTTCTCTCCTAGTCGTTTTCACGTGAATATTTATCTGCAATACCGGATTTCCGACTGTTATATACTTGAATAGTCCATGAATTAAAATGGAACTTTATTTTTAACATGTTCAAACACACAACAAAATTAATTTATAAAAAAAATATGTTTAGTAGTTCCGGTGAGAGATTGGGATTTCTTGACAGTTGACATGTAAGTTGGCAGCAACCTAACACTACAAAATGCGCTGAAATTCCTACGCTATCGCTGTCTCTGTTACAAATGTAAAACTACTGAAGTTCCCTTACTGAGGTTGCCTTTTTTTCTTAATATGTATAGTCATCTTTTCACAACAATACACTTAAAACATGTTTAAAATGGTAAATTTGTATAGGGAAATATTGATTTTGCAATTACGGTCCGCCCCTCGGTCTGACAACCAATGAAAAATTCATCACGATTGAGATCGAGACGGATGGGTGGGGCTTCTCTTTTGGTTTTCTTTTTTAATTAATATTAATACATCTAGGGCCGGTTTATTGAAAAGCGAATTAAATATTTAATTCTCGATTAATTTAGCACAGGATTAAAATGAGGAATATGAGCCCATGATACGTTAAAACATGCACTTTGCGTATGAACAGACTTCAATTAAAAGTTAATCGCGAATTAACTTTAATTTCGCTTTCTATAAACCGGGTCTTAGTTTTCTTTGTATATCACGATTACTTAAGAACAATTTCACAAGGTAATTTCTGGTAGAAAAGTAAGGATTTTACAATTAAGCTCCGCCCCTCGGTTTACGACGAATAAAAAAAATCATCAGAATTTTGATGGGGCGGATGGGCGGGGCTTATATTTTGCCTATGTGTTAATAGTTATATGTACCCATCTTTTCACAACATGGTTAAAATGATACATTTTTGCAAGAAAATATGGATTTTGCAATTATGGGTCGGAGCCTAATTGCATATATCGATATTTCTTTGTACAAATTTTCTATTTTAAACATGTTTTAAGTTTCAGGTTGTGAAAATAACTCTACACATATTGAAACAAAAAGGCAAAATGTAAGCCCGCCCACCCGCCCTATCTCAATTCTGATAATTTTTTTTATTCACCGTGAACCAAGGGGGTGGAGCTTAACTGTAAAATACTTATTTCTTTACAAGAAATTAACAACATATTTTTAAATATCGTGTTGTTCAAAGAATTCTATGTATATTAAGAAAAAAAAGGCAAAATATAAACACCGCCCACCCACCCCATCTCAATTGTGATGATTTTTTTTATTCTTAGAAACTTAAAACACGTTTAAAATGGTAAATATTTGTAAGAAAATACGGATTTTGCAATTAGACTTCGCCACCCCTACGTCTTGCCAACGAATGAAAACTTCATTGCTATTCAGATCAGGGCGGGTATGGGTAGGACTTAAATCTTTGGCTTTAATTTTTTCTTAATATATGTACACAGTATTCTTTGAATAACATCATATTCAAAAACATGATTTACATGGTAATTTCTTGTAGAAGATAATAAAGGTTTTGCAATTAAATTCCGCTCCTTTGGCTTTCGACGATTAAAAAAAAAATCATCACAATTGAGATAGGGTGGGTGGGCGGGGCTTATATTTTGCCTTTTTTCTTAATATACGTAGTCGTCTTTTCAGAACAAGAAACTTAAAACATGTTTGAAATGGTACATTCTTGTAGACAAATATGGATCTTGCAATTAAGCTCCGCCCTTCGAACTGACAACGAATGAAAAATTCGTCACAATTTAGAATTGAGATCGGGGTGGGTATGGGCGGAGCTACATTTTGCCTTTTTTTTCTTAATATGTGTAGACTTATTTCGACAACAAGAAAAAAGTAATCCTCCACTTTTTTTCTACAACCCCTTTAAATACGGCAAAAGTTGACCATCAAAGTTACTATCAACGGCAACTTGGCAACGGTTCTAGGAGATATTTCCAATAATTGTCAGGGGAATACAAAGGTATAATGATAATAGATCGTTTTCTGTTATTAAGAGACATTTTTGTAGCAAAAAACATCAACTCGATGGAATTCATTTTCGTATCGTAAAGTTATGGCTCCTAAACGAAACTCACTACAAACATTCTCGAGTAATGTAAAACTTATTTTTCGTAGCGCTTGAGATTGCATTCAGTTTGAAATTTCAAATTTCGCGCGGATGGTACGCTTTTCTTCGCGCAGATTTTTAGTGACTTTTCTGTCACCCAATTTCTCATCGTACGTAGTATATCACCTATCACCATTTCTTTGAAAACACAATGATTTAACCAATCAATACTACTACTAAATTCTTCAAGTACTACTTTAACATTCTGAACGTATCTTTTCCAGACCATACTGTTTAAATTTGAATATAAGTAAGTCCGATCACCTGGAGACGCCTTTCGTGCCGTTGTCGCTATACATCCTCACGCTGCGTGATTTGTTTTCGCTCAAGTTTGCTTTCTCTGCTCGACTGCCACAGTTTAAATTTGCCGTCATACCATAATAATTTGAGTATTACCACAGGTATTACCATCCAATTATTTTAATGACGATTTCTCATTTTTTGCGTGTTTAAATTTGTAATATTAAAATATTTTTATCGATTTTTTATTTGATTTCACTTCTTAAAGCTGGACAGGTTTTTGTAGCTGATTTCCACAACAGGGTTCAATTTTGTTGACGATCACAGTTCAAGGCCAAATTTGGAATTTTTCCCGGGTTTTCAAATTTTATTGGCATGTCTAATTTTGTTGGGATGTTTGGGTTGGCCCAATTGAATGGTAATAACATGGATTAAGTAATTTTTTCATATAATTTGTAGAAACTGGGGTGTAGGTACTTATTTAGTAAATAATTTCCATTGTCCATAAAAAAATGACTATGCCTGCTTGGTAGTAACCTTGAACTGGGCTGGTTGTGAAACCATGTGAACTCCTATTAAAACCCTTACATTTTTTGGGGTTTGTGAAGAATTTTTGTCTACGTTTTATTCGAAAGATTTACATCTACAATTTTTTTTACAGGCAGTAGGTACTTTTAGATCAATTATTTATGTGTCTAATAATTTACATCAAAAATGTTTAGACAAAAAGACGTTCGTATAAATAATATAGTGACAATAAAAAAGGCCAAGTACGTACATCTGTTCTACATGGAAAATTGGTATTAAAATTTTTGAAAAATTTTTTTTATAAAGATGTAACTAATTATTACTGAGAAAGGAATAAAAAACACGATTACAACAGCCATGACTTTTTGAAACTTTGTCTTTGATAGAATTTTTTCTTAGATTGCCGTCGTGGAGTTTAACGGTATATCTCTATTTATATAACCTTATTTACCCGGGGGTTACCCTAAGAAGAAATTAGATTTGAACTATCTCAGGGTTATGCACTGAACTCCTTCGAAATTTTGACAAGAGGTTAACATTAACTCAAGTATTACAAAATATTATTACATTAACAGAACTTTATCATTTCTTTGACAAAATTGATGAAATCATCTGGAAAAATTATTGTACTTTAGTGACTTAATTTCATTAAAAAGAAGTTATACCAAATGTTTTTGCAAGATTAAGTTAATAATGTTTCATTTGCTTTCATGAAATAATTTTGGAAAAAAAGGAAAAATTAACAATCAAAAGTGTTAACTTCTTAGTAGGTTATCTAAAGCAATTTTTGTTATTAAATAACATTTGTAATTATTTTCTCCAAGGGTTTTTTACATCGGCACACAACAGTTTTACAAACAATGATAACAAATTCAAAAACTCACCTGGTATTTTTCCATCTTCAAAAGCAGGTTTAGCAACAGGTTCAAAACCGCCTGCTAACAACCTGCCCTTGTTTTCTCTAAAATAAATATAACCATCTTGATCTCGAACAACTGTAATTGATTTCATTTGAATAGTTATTTTTTTACCTTAAGTTGTTAAGCAAATACCTGGAGTCATCGAGTCCAAACCAGGAATTGGTTTAGTATGTAAATAATAGTGTTCAACAGCATGTAGAGGTACTTTGACATAAGGTTCAGAAAGTTGACCCACACCTCGAGCCCAGAACCCAGCACAATTAACAAAATATTCACAACTGATAGGACCTAAATCAGTTTCCACACCAGACACTTTCCCATCAGTTTGATGAATTTTTGTTATAGTACAATTCTCAACAACTTTCACCCCTTTAATAAAAAATATCAATAATAATTTTAATAAGTCAGTAAATAATATACCCATTTTTGATGCTTCCCCTACAACTGATATGCATGTTTCATAGGGATCACCTACTCCATCACCAGGAATCCAAAGGCCTCCAACTAGATCATCTACATTTAAAAGTGGACACTTTTCACGGCACTCTTGTGGTGTTAATAATTCACAGTCAATTTTCCAAGACCTGTAAGTGACTTATAAACAAATATAATAATGAGTGAATTATTTTCTTTTACACTGATTGTGCTTTCATTCGCCTAAAAACAGTCATTCGATCTCTAGTTCTTGCCAAATTAAGACTTCCACATTGCTTCCAACCAGTCGACAATCCTTTAGATTCAAGGTGCTTATATAATTCAACACTAGATTTAGTTAGTTTCACTTGTGACAAGCTTGGCTTAAACACTCCTACAAGACCTGATGAATGCCATGTTGTGCCTCCGCCAACCCTATAAAATAATAGCAAAATAATAAGAGCAATAATTTTTAGTTAACTAACCTATTTTGTTCTATTAATACAGTTTCGGAACCCCAACCTAACTTGGCTAAATGGTATGCTACAGATGCACCCATGACTCCTCCACCACACACGACCACTTTTGCATGTCGTGGGGGTACAATGGTTTCCAGAGGCCCACCCTCAACGTCGTAAACATTTTCTGTTTTTAAAACTGCAGTTGAAGATATAAGACGTCCACTTGGTGTTTTTAAATGATAAATATTTCTTTGGAACATACGCCACATTATGTGTTCGGTTTCTGAATGCTTTTAGCTGAGTTTCATTAGAATTTAGGAGGAAATCTTATGATCAACAGGAAATTATACTTAAATTATTGTCATTTGCGTAGGTTCTCACAGCTTGGTTTTTGAGGTTATATTTAGGTTTGTCTAATCAAGGTCGCATAGAGTATACAGTAGCATTTTCATTTTTCGTGCAAAAAATAAATACAGTCGACGTGACATTCATTGATCCGTACGCATACGCGTGAGTGTAATACATATGCTAATAACAATAACTAAAGGTCGGATCATGGTCGGATATGGCCTAATCCCTAATAAATAAGACTCCTTTATTAAAAAAAGTCAATTTGTTTGAACTGTCATAGAATATTAAAAAAAAATTAAACAAAGTTTACCTACACTGTGTAAAATCAAAAACAACAAATTATGGTTTAACTGAAAAAGAGAAGTTAAATATCTTATGCTACTCAGAAGAAAACCCAATGGTTACCCAATGTCTTCATAAACTTCATGATTCCAACTACATATTTTGGAACTTCAGGTGTGCATTTTTTTACATAACATTAGTTACATAATTATTTCCAATGCATTGACGCAATATAAATGAAATGAAATCAAATGTTCCGAACCAATGCAAATATGTATTTCAACATTACAAAAAAAAAACTAAGAAAAAAGAAATCTCAATTAAAGTAACTGGGTGCAAATATACAAGTTATTACGAATGTGTGGCAGCAAATTTAAATATGAACGAAACCAAAGTCTAAATCGGGAGTCAAAATCATAGATCAAAGAACTCCTCAATTTTCAGCTTTTCTGTGTGTTACGATATTCACGAACCACAACACATAATCAACCTCGCAACGCAAGATCTGTTACGTATTGACCGCATCTTCCACCAGTCCTGCGTACTGCCGGATCACCGATCAGCATATTTCGCAAGGGGGTAAGTACCCCAGCGAGAATGTAAAAACAAACGACCAGACAAACTCGCCCTAAAAACCCTTCTGCTAACATTGGCGCAATTAGCCGAGCAACTCCACCTCGTTCCTCGCTGCTCTTAAAAATAAATTAATTCAAGCGCAAAAATATTATTAAACGTCCAAGACAATTGTTAGACCCAAAACAAATGTAATACTTAAGTATAAACATCCAGAAACTTTAATTATATATAACTTGATAAACAGAAGAGCGAACCCTGAATAAGTGAACTCCTTAACACGTTATTTATCTGAACAATTTTATGACTTAATACGGTCTATTTGGCGAATTACTAATTTCATCTTTTTATGACTGGTAAGAGTATTATGTTACAACTTTAATTCCTCGAGTGTAAGTTACAACCCTTAGAATATGAACTGGTAGTTTATTAACATGTTTTTAATTAGACGTTGAGATTTTTGAAAAAAAAAAAAAATGTAAAACAACATTTTGTAATTTACCTTAATAGTAACTATAAAAACAACTGTTCTGAATATTGCAAACGATTTAACTTTAACTAAACATAATAAATCCCCAATTAACGTTTTTTTGTTTAGGGATTCCCTCTAAAATCTTGATGACATCATCTCAAAATTTTGCTGGATAAATTCTGTTTAAAATATACCTGTAAAATATGATGGGTCTTCATTTGCAGTTTGCCAGTGCGTTCATAACTTTTAGAATTGTTTATACAGCAGTTGCAAAAAATTGAATAAAAACAGTTTACTCTATTGATTAAATCTAAAACGGCTTAAGCACTTCATTTTCCGGAAACTCTGAAAGCAAAGCGTTGTTGTTATGAACAGGTATTTATTGTACGAGGCCAAACTTCCTCGGTATTATACTGTACCTATCCAAACGGATATAAGTGATATATTGTCCCAATTAAAGGATTTATTAAAAGAACTTACTTGAAATATACGCTTGTTTATTTGTAAGTACGTAGCCAACACCTATTCTCATTTCAGCATATAAGAGTTACCATTAAAAATAAAGTTCCTAGAATTAAATTTTAGGAGTATAATTTATCTAAAAAACTGGATTTGTTTGAATATCCTTCAAGGGCGAGGTAAGTTCTCCGATTTATAATATTGCAACCAGTGGCGGCTGGTGGGTCAAAATTTCGGGTCGGCCAAATATTTTGAGTCTACACCTTGGTGTTATATATTTTCGTAATGTATGGCTGCTACTCATTAACCACTGACATTTTACGTGCCAGGATGTACAAAACATCTCAAATGTTTCGACCTGTTAAAATAATTTTTTATAGGAAATTGACAATGTCAGTTTGATTCCAAATACTATTAATCCTTAATTCTACTTGTTCTGCTTTATCATTAATTGAGAACTACCGAAAACATTATTTTTACTGAGTTCCGGGTCGACCGGCGGCTATACGGCTTGCCGACCCCGGACATCCACAATTAAATAATAATTATTAAATAATGACATGCAGTTAAAAAATATAAAAAAAAGTAATAATAAAAGTACCAACTGTTAACTATCTTCATTTACATTTATTTATTTTTTTTAATGTATATGACAAATTGTCAAATAAATTAATTGAATAATTGAAAAATTAAAATGATTTAAAACTTTAAATTCGTTTCTGAAATGTCTGAAAACGCTTAGATGCTAAAAATACAGAAAAAGCGCATTTATGTTATAGCTAAGTTATGTACGAAAAATAAAATTTTAGATAATTTAATGTAATTTTTTTCGTTTATTATTCATACACAGGAAAATGTATTAAATCGACAATTATTATTAAAAAAAAATAGTATGCACTGAAGAACATCGAAGCCGTTATTGTTTTGTAATTTGGTTAGCTATCTTAAATATTAACCGTTTTAAAAACTAAATTCGCGTTGCTGGATACGGCGAAGGAGGATTTCGCCGGACCTGGCACAACATACGTTCCGCCAGGTCTTTGTCTACTACAGTGTACTAGACAAAGAGAACGATGAAACCCTAAGCTGCTACGAAGTCGAAACATCGAGCATAATGCATTCCTGGATACGGCGTGCCGAAATCTCGCCGGCAAAGCGTGTTTATCAGCATTTAAAATTAGCAACAAATGCTTTATTTTGTACCTACAATATAATAAAATATATTTTTAATATATATGATCTATCCTAACGTACATTCAAACTTTATTTCTTTTTTTATTTTCTAATTTCAACGCTTACTAAGTATTTTAAAATGACTGGTACGGCGTGGCCGACCCTGCCGCCCCTAACCAGCCGCCCCTGATTGCAACTAGTGTGTCACTGTGTCAAGTATCGTCAGAGATAATAAGTATGTATTAGAAATCCACATTATTTGAGTATGATTGTTGTATGAATTCTTTATCTATATATCATCTCAAATTCAGAAGATTTCACTTCTCTGGTAGCAGATAAAAATATTCGTGAAGCTTTCAACTGCATGACTCATAGGTATTCAAGAAAATATGTACCATTTTTAACTAGACTACAGTAAATTCATTTGACATGCACCTTGTAAAACTTTTATTACTTAAGCGGCTTAAGCCAAAGCACCCTTATAATAAGTCAAACCGACTATTGTTAGCTTTATGGAACCGAACCGCAAGGATTATTACTGTCCATTGATGCTATAATGGAGCTGTGAACTGAGTTAAGTTATACATATAATAGCCAGTTTGAGTTATAAGGATGCTTTGGCTTAAACCGCTTAAGTCATAAAAGTTTTACAAGGTGTATATCAAATGAGTTTACTGTATTATTTTACAATTTTTATTTATTTATTTTTTTTGGGTAAAACTGTAAATATCAATCCAAATTGTCTCATTTTTACATTTGGTTGTTAGAATTAAATGATTATCATTATACTTAGCAGTCAAGAATGTTTGTTCATATTAAGTGAGTTTGCAAATTTTAATTATATTTGAATACATTTAAATTTAATCTTAAATAATCTTCATACACTATTTTTTGATACTGTCAGCGTAGGTATCACAAGTGGTTTTTTAAATTTTTTTATTGTACCGATTTTGTGATCACATCTGGAAATATGGTATATTATCAAAAAAATAAATAAATAAATAAATAAAAAAATAAAAATGAAGTAACAGATAAGTTAATGCAAATTCTCAACCTTCTGCATTTATTAAATTAGTTCAATCTAGATTAAGTTGACAATTACAAAACGTAGTATCATGCTTATCAGCACGTATCGCTTATTAAGTGCACATCATTGGATGTAGGATTTTTTAGAAGTACATACATCTAATTTGGCACCAGTCTGATCCGATAAATACTGCACAATGAATGACTTAATGATATTAACAATGAGTTAATGATTTTGGAGCATTTAGTATATTGAGAAGTATTTACTATAAAATTACCCAACTTTTAGTTGCTATCTATATTGTTGATACAAATACATGAGAATTCTCGTTGTGTTCAAACTGCGAAAATTATTATAAAAAAGCAAGTGCAGCTGTGATTAAAAAATTAAAACCTCCAGTAATTATAAGTTGTTGATCCCTAAAAACCAACATTTTTAATATTTCATTACAATTATTATAAAATTACAGCATGCCATACATATTATTTGATTTATTTGTAACATATGGTCGACAAAAACACTTCTCTAGTGATTTTTTACTGTCACGACTGTATCGTTCTTGAGGTTATTGAAAATTATTCTACAATTCTATGCATTGCATTAGAGCGTAAGACCACTCATCCTTTTCTTGCTTGACGCCATTTTGGTAATAACTGTGGATAATAAAAATTGTATGTTCTGGCTTCTGTTTCAAACAATTTTTTTTATTATACTGAAAAATACAACTGCCACCATAGTTTTTTTTTTTTTTGGATCATTCTATTTTGGCGATAAATAGAGACAACCACCATATTAGTATTTGCTATTTTGACACTCTTAAATTTGTGGTGGGTTGTGGGTATGTTCCAAGTTTTGATTTCAACCTAAGAATTACTGCTTACTTAATGCCTTATCTGATTTCCCGCTAGTAGATCCAAATGTGCTGAGTTGTAATTAATTTTAAATAACGTGACAGTGAAACTTCGATTTTAGAACATTTTTGGTTAAAAAAAAAATAGTTTTAGAGCATAGTTCTTAAAACACCGTACAACTTCGGTCTTTGACTTTTTGTTGTATCTCTAATAATGAATGAGATATCGAGCACTCCGCGCTTGGTGACTCAGCATGTACATATATCGATATTTCTTGTATAATATGAAAATATTGGCTTCCAGTTTCCGTCTGTTGGAGCTTTTATTAGATAAGAAATTTCCCAAACTATTAACCTGGTTACTGTGAAATGTTAAGTGTACTTTATTTAAGGTTGCCATATAGATGGGAAAAGTACTAATAAACACTTGCCCATTCTTCCCTACCACAAATCTGATGACGTCATCTTAAAATTTTGCAAAGTAAATTTCTCTCTAAACATCCAGTCAGTTTTTGGAAGATTCAATAAAGAAATTTTAGTTAAAATTCCACAGCTAATAGTGTCTTACTGTCTTATCACGAAAAAAGCCGGCGTTATACAGCACATCTAACCTGAGATTTACTTGACAATATTTTGAAATTAAATCATCAGTTTTTTTAAAGTAGATGAATAAGCAACATTCAATTAGTGTTTTATCGCTTCATAATATTACAAATTACAATTCTGAAATAATCAGAGAGATGATTGTTAAAAAAGTTTATAACAAATAAGAGATTAGAAACCTGCATTTCTTACCGAAAAAACCATTTATGCAGTCTGAGAGAAAAAATAACACTTTTACAATGCTAAGGCGACAGGCTAGTAATAAAGTAACACATCAGCCAGCCGTATTCTTAGTAAATGGAGTAATTATTATGATCAAAATTATTATCTACTGCAAGTCATGTCAAGGAGTTCAAGCTACTTTGAAATTTAATCAGTCTGGTGCATCTGTGCGCATATAGTCGTTTATAAAGGTAAATCTGTATTATTTCGAATGGTTCTAATTTTTAACGAAGACAACAATGACAGTTGAAACTGGTTAACTTGCTATCAATTTAGCAAATATGGATGTTAGTTTTATGTGTTACATGAAATAAAATGTTACCATATGTGTTCAATAAAAACATCTCTACATATTCAACCAAAAGGGACTATTTAATGGGGCAAGGATTTTTTATTAGTAAAATTCAATTCCTTTCTATTCAAATTACTCTTGTGTGTTAACTAATTTATTTTTTCGTAGTGGAAATTAATAAGTCACTGTTATCATTTCTGGGATTACGAAAGTAACAATAATAAAAAAAAGAAACTACCTGTATACTGAACTAAGTATATTTTACACCGAAAATTTTAAAATTTGAATTTTAATTTTGTAGCAAAATATCATTATAACTTTACTGCAATACAGTTGTCAGAACTAAAAATCTAATAAAAACTGAATTTTCGTTCTTATTTCACTTGGAAACTTCAGAAAATTAGAGCTTTTTTTCAACTCGCGAGGAAGATAAAACTGACTTCAACTAAAAGATTTTGAATTTTATAGACAACATCATTAATAAGAGTCATTCATTCAATACGAGCACAAAATATTTGCGTATGTTATTATTTATTAATCATCGCACATTTCGAACATTAGATGACCATGAATCAAGTGTGGAACATTGAAGGCTAATTACAATAAAAAAATCCCACTTTGGCTTCTACACACGTAATAAATAACATACTTATTAGTTTTTTATTAAAAAATATAAGTTTATATTTGATTTACTATGATAAAAAGACGTTTGTGTAAATTTTAAATTCATAATGTAAATATTTATTCAGATTTCATAAAAATTTACAGCAGTGAGTATAAATATCAAATAATTATGTAGTGACTGCTGGTACTATTTTTGCAGTTGCTATTGTTTATTTTCATTTTCAATTTATTTAAATTTTTTGCTTCTAGTCTTTTAGATATTTAATGTTACTATGTATTATGACTTATGAGATGAGTCAACAGAAAATCTTTACAGATATTAGTTATCAGTACTAACACTACTCGTATTAATAACAGCAACAATATATACATGTATTAAAAATTTACTTGCTCACTTCAGTGTGGTTGAAGACTGTAGAGTTAGTATCACATTCCTAAATAAATTTTACTTTAGAGTTTTCTGTATATTTTAATTTAATTCGAAAGTAATTTCACTGATCAGTTGACCGCATATCAAACATTTATAAATCCAGTAGTTGTATAAAATATCTCTAATAAAATATGTAAAAATCATCGCCGGATAACTATGTGTATTGTTTGTTTATTTATGCACTAAAGATGCATATATGGGAATATTTCTATATGTCATGGTTGCAACTTAAATTTCAATTTTATGTTGTCCATAAATTTTTTATTTTGGGTTGCACCTTGAGGTGTACAAATGTTTTCATTATTAAACTTTACACCCTTGATCTGTTAAACGAATTTAAAATTTTTCAGCATTTTTAATGGCATACAGAAATATTAGTCCTTATGGTAATTCATTAAAGTTTTGATATTATGAATTTATGATTTACAAAGAATAATAATTTATCACAGTTAATGATGCGTGTATATACCAGTCATAGTTTTACACTTTAGCAAAAAATGTTATCGAAAAGTTCAAATTATTATCACATTTGAGTTACTTTTGAAGCTTATAATCCAATGTTTTATGAAGAAAATAACATTTGTCTCCGTTCATCAACGAAATTAATGAAAAATTAACTTCATTTGTTATCAAGATGTACTGCGAAAATAATACGGTCTGTGCTCATATATTTAACCATATACCAAGGTTAATGTTATTTGATGATTAAAATCATGAAAAATGACAATAATTTTCTGATGTTTCTAATTCGGTCAATCAGATATATACACTATGGTAATACATTTTTGATGATTGTGCTAGTGGAACTGGCAAGTGAATAACGCATAGTGACGATTAAGGTAGATTTATATAGGTAAAGTTAAGGACAAGCGACGATTCAGCCTTGAAAATTTGAGAAAACACATTCCAACATTATGAAGATTATAGTTAGCACAAAAGTATTAATTTATTGCGCTCTGTTTGGAGTTGCACTAGTGGTAGCGGGGGTAATTCTCGGTTACAGAATTTTCCCAATGATCGTAAGCAAAAAAGTTTGGGAGGTACGTATTCTTTTCTACAGTTTTTTGTAAACATCATCTTAAACTTAAAGCAACAAATATATCGCTAATTTATTAACAGCGTGGTAACAAAGTAAAACAGAAATTTACACATTTTTTTCTGTCCAAACGTAGAGGCAAATCAATCGAAAACATTAGTTTTTGATTACATGCTGTATGGCAACAAATATATGTAATTTTGATGAAAAAAATCTAGGACCACATTATTTTATTTTTCAATTTCGCATATCCGAAATATTTTGTGTTTCTTCGTATTCTTAAGTTCAGTATCTTGGTTGATCGTGCACATTACGTATTTATTACAATAAAAGAAAAATATATTTTGCTTGTTTTAACAACTAAATTACGTTATGTGTTTCATCTCCACTGATCGTTAAAATTGCTACCAAGTTACTTTGATATATATCAACAGAAAATATTATTAAAGCAAGAGGTTCTACAAAGTAAATCATCCAAGGTATGTCATTCTAAAAATTCATCGCGAGTTTGTGCTTTCTCTGTAAATGGACTACTTTTTTTATACAAAGTTATTAGTTTGTATTATTTTTAATTATTATTTTCTTAACGCAGTGATACGTAATTACAGCAAATTCCATATTGCAATTTTTTTTAAAAATTTGAATGTCAAAATAACACAAAGCACAATCTTACTGTTACGTTTAGAGACATATTTTTATATCTTACCTATATATATCGTATTGTAGAATGCTGTACTGAAGGAAGATACTCAGCAGTGGAAACTTTTTACAAAAATTCCGTTTCCATTTCAAGTGAAAATTCATTTTTTTGATGTACAAAATTCAAATGAAATATTACAAGGTGCTAAACCAATTGTTAAAGAAGTTGGACCTTACGTTTACAAGTAAGTATTAAAATCATTAAAGAAGAAACTGATTTTCTAAAGTTGAAATATACGCAAGTACAGAATTATGATTCTACAAACTGTCAAAGTGTCTAAAAGAAACTTGAGATACCTAGTTTCCATTTAAAAAGTCATCATTAACTCCAAAAATATCTTTTATTTTCAAATGTTTTACAATATGTAAGACTTATGTGATTTGGTTAACACGGTATGTGTTCTTTCTGCCACACCATTCTTAAGCAGCATGTAAAACTACTTATTCTCCTTATAAAACATGACTATCTACCTTTAATTATATACCTATAACAATAGTTGAAACATCAACAAACACAACGTTAAAAGATTGGATTGCAGTTTGACCTTTGACGAAATCAGTGCATAATGGGATTAAATATTGATTAAGTTCGTGAATAAATAAACCTAAATCGTCGATAAAATTTCTTCTTTTTATGAACCTTATTGAGTTCAGTATTAAAACTATAATTATGTTAGGAGCTTCTTCAGCTTAATAAATACGGATATAAATTTGTAAGTACATTTTCTTGAAGTGGAAAATAAAAGTACAATTGTGTAAAGTTTCGTTTGCTCTTATGCTGCTGCTGGCTGTACCGTTTGTGTGGAAAAGGACCCTATGGACATTTTTTTTTGTTCTGCATGAATTCCACAATATCCTTGCCGTTGCAGTGTCCCATTTCCAGTGCCATAGGTGTCCACTATTGCTGAAATTCTTCTTAACTAGTGTCCACTGTATTCTTTGTAACTGGGAAATTCGAAGTATAATACAGTTTCCTTTCCCACATTTCTTTTCTTACCTTATCTGTACATGCTACACTTTTAAGTCGATATATTGTAAAACATTTTTTTTTACTATATTAACTCTTCGTTACTAACTCTGTAAATTTCCCCGATGCCAAATAATAGAACAATCTTTGACTGACTCCTTGGGATGTTAAAACTAGTATACTACTAGTACAAACCATTATTTACAGAAAGCGTTCATTTCTTGAGCTGAGTTTTTTTTAAAGATGGAGATCCAGAAACTTAGTTATCTTCACCTTGTGTCTAACTGTTTTCTGTATTTGCAACATTCACCAACTAGGTAAAATATCCCAGTAAAACACATGGTGATTCAACAGTCTTTGATAAAGCAAATCTAAATTTAGTCGCCGTTTACTGCTTTCTAGCCACATTTGGTACTGTTCGATATCATCTTCATTGGCTTTAATTAAAAAATCTTGATAGAGACACGGCAAAAGTGTCTTTTTCCCAATTCCCTTGTGGCAATTTAGTAAATAGGAATAAAAAATAGATTTTCTATTCCGTGTCGATGCTACAAAATTACAAAGTTTTTAAAAGTAGAACGAATCAGTAATAAATAAGTAATCTATTTTGTTTAACTGTATTTTTCAGATTGAATAGATGGAAAGATGACATTGAGTGGAATGCAGACGAAATATCATATTATGATTGTATGAAATTTGAATTTGATAAAGAAGCGTCGGGTAGACTATCAGATGAAGATTATGTTACAATTTTAAATTCACCTTTTAACGTAAGTAATATACTCCTGCAAGAAATACCAACTCACACCGCTTCTCGGGAGGCAATAAACTCTTTTGCTCGATTTAAATGAGTGGGCATGGATGAGATTTTTGCAAGAATCTTGCAAAATGAATTAGAATGCCTTACTAAACCTCTGCTTCATCTTTGCGGAGCTTACCTCGTTCTGGGCTACATCCCTAGTGGCTGGAGTGACGTAAGATGTATCTTTATCCCTCAATCTGAGCGTAGTACTTATGGTTTAAACTTTAGACCCATCAGTCTAATGTTGTTTCCTCTAAAAGTAAAAGAAAAACTAATTGACAGGCAAGTTCGGGAGGAGTTTTCAGGTAATATGCATTTGAACCCAAACCAACATGCTTACTAGATGGTCTACTGAGGCAGCCCTGCATCAAATCGTTACGCCGATAGAGGTGGGCCAGGAAGGTGGATTTTACTCACTTGGAACATTCTTGGATATAGCGGAGGCATTTGTCAATGCAATTTTTGAGTCCACGTCTTCATCTTTGACCAAGTGTGGTGAGGATGTGACACTTGTTAGGTGGGTTCGTGCGATGCTTACCTAAAGATCAATCAGTGCGCATCCCCACTTTTATGGAATCTGATAGTAGATGACTCCGTAAAAAATCTTGAGGCTTAACACCTAGAGTCGTGCATTGGCTATACATCAGTGTGGTAATGCCGATAATCTCCTATGATGACGTTATCTGGTGGAGCTAGAGGTGAAAATCTAAGTTAAAATTCGTTTGGCCCCAACACAACGTCTGACCTGTCTAATGGCAACAGGTGCAATGAGAATCACTACAACGGCTGCCATAGAAAAAAATACTAGTCAGGTTGTCTCCTTTTCCTCCTCTTCGTCTGATTAGTAGAAAAACACGACAATGAAAACTGACCATGAGACTATTGCCAAAAAATCAACTCTGTCTTCATAATGATTGCAAAATTCCCGTTATAGTAACAAATCACTCACACGATATCTCCACCAGAAAAGTGGAAGGAACGTACTCAAGTCATGACCCAAGGAGGCTGGATCACTAGCTGTGCAGATGGTCTGATCTCCAGTAAGGGACCAAGTTCCGGCGTGTACTCTACCTAGGCAAATCTCAAAGACTTGATATCAGTGAGTAAGCACACCAGTGTCGTGTCTTCTCATGTAGAAATTTTTGCTTTGAATGTGTGACAGAATGTATGCACAGGGCTTTCTCTGAAAGGCGAATCTGCATTTTGTTTGGGAATGTCATTATCGAATACAGGATTTAGCGGAGCACAAAAAAAGTGGTGTTCAGCTGGATACCTGGACACATGGGCCATAAGGAAAATGAAAGAGCCAATGCTTTAACAAGGCAGAGCTCTAAGAGGAGCTTTGTAGGTGCGGAGCTGCCTTTACCAGTTCTTAAATGCGCCCAAAAGAGTGCATAAGATTGCCATCTTCGAGAATGGGACACCTCAAACCTCATGGTTGTTTATAAAAGAGGCAGTGAAGGGTTACTGAGACTGTAGAAAACATCTTAGAATTATATTGGGGATATTCAGCAGACACTGTCCCCTAAACAACCACATGTGCAGCATGCAGAATTAGACTCCAGAGCACATTTTGTGTTCTTGTCCGGCACTTACTGGCATCAGGAAAGAACACATGGTCTTCCAAATTTTGGAGTCACATGATATTCGAGCTTCGATTATTAATTGTATCCTGGATTTCATGAAAGGTGTAAGGTTCTTTTAGGACTCTATACTATGGGGGATAGCACATAATCGACCAGAAAGTCTTCGCATCCTATAAAAAAAAATACTCCTGCTTGTCGTCCAAAAAATGTTTATTGACCGCGGTCGAGCATTTGGACACTAACAAAATTATTTATTTGGGTGTAGGCCCATTTTCTGGAAAATGGAAAGCTGAACTACATGTTGGGGAAGAGGTAATAATTAAACACTCCTAACATTATATATTATATTACTAGCTGACCCGGCCACGCGTTGCTGTGGCTTAAGTAAATAGATAATTGTCAAATTTACCGGTATTTGGATCATACTGTTTGATATTAAGGTGATATTCATCTTGTCCTTGCCAAAATATCAATGGATATTGTAGTGCGTCATATGAACGGTGTAGATCCGAAATCGTACTGACAGCTGACAGTGTTGTCTCGCCGTGTAATTTTTATAGATCTTTTGTCAACTGGATCACCAACCATGATAACAGCAACCTCATCAACAGTTGGAGCGTTGAATCTACCAGCATGTTCACCTAATGGTACTTTGTCGGCTTTTATGACGATTTGATAATTGTCATTTTGCAGTCGTGGCGAAACTCTTTTGATCAATTGAATTAGTTGATTGTGATTTTCTAAAAAATTTTCCAATAATATCACAATTGCTCTTTCCTCTGCTTATACAGGCACCGAGTCGTCACGCGCTCTTCACAATCGCCCATAAAATAAATTTGAAGAAATTTCGGATTGTTATCAGGCATTGGCATCAGTGATCCGATTTTACCTGGCCTTGAATTTTGAATGTAGTTTCAAAATTACGTCCATCGGATGCACGATCGCAAATTTTAGTTGCCCCAAATGACGTCATTTGGAAGCAAGAATTAAATTTGCGTATCTTACGCAAAAATAATTTGGAATCATCTGAATTGCCATTTGCCAGTAAGAAGGGATAATAAAGGCTCCGGGGGAGCGGGTAGAGGTGACAGCACAACTTTTCCTGATGCGCAGCACATGCCGGCTGCTTCATTCCGAAATTTCAATGCCTGACAATATTGACATACTTTATCCATTCCACCGATAGCAATTTTTGAATGCGCTGAGTAGTTAATATCTGGTGCATATTCAAAGGCAAGCCGAACGAATGATGCACGTGTTAATGAGCGGCTGATCCGTTGCCTTTGTCGATCTAGTACTCGTACTGGAGCTATGTTTCGTTCTCGTGCCGCTCTTGTTCTCGTAATATTCTGTTGCCGACGTTCGTCACGCTGTTCTTGAGATTCTTGTGCACGACTTTCTGCAGTCCTGATTCTTTCAGCTGCATTTCTTGTTTCGATTTGTTCTGGTAATTGCTGAGCTCTTTCAACACGTTTGCGTCGTGACCCTTTGCTGCTCGCGTTGTTGAGGTTAGATTTTTTCGGTGGCATTTGACTGACAATAATAATTTAATCGTTTAAATATTAGAAACCCAGTCGAAAGGTATCGACATCTGTTAGAATCATTTGGAGTTAACAGATAATTGTGACTGTCAAATAATAGCAGACAAATAATTAGCAATAAATTAAAATTGCGACTATAATTTGAGATTTAAACTATCCTATTTCTCAAGTTGGATCGAACTGCACATGGTGTGCGAATTTTATTATAATCGGTTAAGTGGTTTAGGAGTCCATTGAGGACCAACATTGTGACACGAGATTTATATATATTAAGATTATATTGAAATATAAAACTACAATCATGATTATTGAAAAATGATTAAATATATATGTACCAGCCAAAAAAATAAAATAAAACATAGGGGTAAACTTACATACTAAAACATATATAAATGTGATACAAGCGCAATGCAATTGCTTTCTACTACCTCACTCTTATAATTTACGAAAATAATTTACTAAACCTAATAAAACTAATTCCAAAATTAAGCTCGCATGAAGTGCGAGGTTTCCGAGAACTACAGAAAAAGAATCAGAGAACGAGAACATGATCAAAATATTTTAAACTCAAAACAAAACAACAAATGTATAATCTATGCCAAAGAAATCAGATCAAAAACGAATTTGGTTCGAACATCTCTCAAAGTTCACCTAAAATATCCCTATTCCGAACTCTGAGCGTCGAATTCGGAAATTAATGAAACGTTGGATTAATATTCATTAAACGTTCGGTAATTTATCGGAAGAGCTCCTCCAACGACTTAAAAGCTGACACAAGACCAAGAATACCGCTCGAAAACGAGAACATCTGTTAAGGCTAAAAATTCATTCAAACCCGGCGCTATCTGTTCACACGAAGCGCATTGGAGACCACTGACAAAAATACATGAATTAGATACTTAATATGGCCGAAGTCAAAAATACATTGGGTTTTAGCACGAGAGTGAAGATAGAATCAAGCATCACTGAAGGTGGACTTATACAGACTCAACATGGAATTTTTCCAAGTCCAGCCTTCTTCAGAATCCAGCAGAAATTCGGGCAGCGATTCAAGTTGGAAGATTTGTGCAGTTCATATTATCAGCGCGACCAGTAGCACTTCAGACTTGACTGAATTTTCAGGGTCTGCCATCTCGCGCTTGATTTACGACTCAGAAATACTTGCGATTTAGACCGTAGTAGTTCCATAAGGGTTACGAAATTTTAGCGCTCGTAAATCAACCGAATTTACGAGAGTTCTTGGCGGTTAGTGATATTTGATATCTGCAAATTTGCGAAATATGATCTTACGTTCGGAGGTTTAATGAATGCGATTCCCCATTTAGATGATACACTCGTTTCCAAAAAAATTCGGACAAGATGAGGAAATCAGGTTCTCATAGATCAATGAAAAGTAATGGGAATATGACTTTCATGTCAATGTCATTTGCCCGAAATTTTTTGGAAATGACGAATTTCATTCTCACGGTCTGGGATTTTGTACAACGTGCTTTTATTGTGTTTTGCTCCTGAACTGTCTTTCTGACAACCTGTCACATGACAGTACGGAATATTTGATATATTTAGAATTGCCGATTAGTATTTAGGTGCTGTAACTGCTCTTACACTTTTATTTTACTTACTAATTTTTAGGCTCTCATTTTGGCTGTCGAAGAATTGTCAGCTTCAGCCTTAGAAACAGTTAACGACGCACTTCCAGATGTTTTTAATAAATACAACAGTCTTTTTGTAAAGGCAACAGTGAAAGAGTTACTGTTTGAAGGAAGCATATTCTGCGAAAACGGAGGTGAAGATGATTTTGCAACTAAAATGATTTGCCAACAGTTTAAAGCTAAAGCAAAAGTAGCGAAAGGAATGACTGTTATTGGTAAAGCTATAAACTATTCTTATCTGAATTTCGTGAGTTATTCGAAGTTACACAAGGTGCTTAGTTTCCGACGATCAAATAATTTGAAAATTATAACTCCTTTAAAAAACTATTATTGCAAAAGGAATTTGAAACAAAAAGCTGCAAATTTTATTAGTATTTTAATCACTTACATTACATTAAAATATACAGGGTGTTATTGAAAGGTACGGTACGTACAACAAAATGGACAGTTCTTCGCGAAGTCTAAGAAGTCGGAAAAACTTATTTTATGTTATCAAAATTATAAGGGGAAAATTAACCCTTATCCAACCTTTTTAGACGCTACTGAAGGATAATTAGGTAAAATTAATTTATTTTAGTAAATCCTAGCAACTGTAACAATAAAACTTTTGTGAAGACTAAATGTTGCTATAGAAACGAAAGATGATCTTTTTATCAGAGGCGTACAATGAATTTGGTCATAATTTTGAATAATTTTTATCTCTAAAAGGAGAACACTTTTACCTGAACTTTTTTTAACTTTTAGCACCCAGACTTCGAGACCAATTGCCGATTTTATTTTGTACGTACCTTTCAATAACAGGCTGTATTTAATATTTTCAAATTATTTCTTCGTTGATGGAAACCAAACAACAATATCTGCATTATGTCACAGATTAACACTATTTCCAGAAAAATAATTCACATCTTGGGCGGCTTACTATTAAAAGTGGTTTAAAGAATCAGGAAGAAACATCCAATTTAGTTCGATTTGACAACAGAACGCGTGTTTCTGTATGGGTTAATGAAAGTTCTGCTTGTAATGAAATTAAAAGTACCACAACATTTCGTCCGTATTTAACACCTGAGATGACATTTGACGTGTTTTCAGAGGATATTTGCAGGTTATTTTATTGATTTATTATTCCGAAGAACTTTACCTCGACTCGTTTTAAAGTTCATTGTCAAGGAATTTATAAATTTAAGAAAATGTCACCAGATTTAAATTATTAGAACCAGAGAAAAGTTATGCCGTGAATAATAATTAATGTTTTTGTTCGTATGGGATTAAAATTTTATACAGAGTGTCTACAAATGATTCATCTAGCATTCATTGGAAAATTTTATTTTTTTTAAACGTGATTGATGTTTATAAAATTAAGTTTGTTGTATAGATATAAGAATTAGTAGTAATATATTTCTGTGAGAATTAATATAGGTATAAATTTACATACATATACTTATTATCAGTGACATTGCACGAATTGAACTGCGAAAAATACATATAATTTTTATGTTTCAAATATTTTACTCTAAAAGTTTATTTGAATCAATTTTAGACGTTTAAAAATGGCGTATCAGAAAATTGAGACTGTAAAAGAAATACAAGGTTACAAATATGTTGTAACTAATGATTCATTTAATGCACCACAAGAAAATCAAGAAAATTATTGTTTTTGTGTGAATAGAAGCAGAACATTGCATGGTGATTTTGGATGTTTAAAAGATGGACTATTAGATTTGACAACTTGTGTAGGTAAGTTGTTAGAAATATGTATGAGCACATACGTAGAGTAGCATTTTGCACATAAGGACAAAATTTTAATGTTAAAGTCTACAAAAAATATTGTCAATTTATTTTCATTTTTAACATGTACCATATTACGATCTGAGGTCCACTTGCCTTTTATAGATACTGAGTCGTAACGCTTTACATTATGTATACAACCGGTAATTCAATTGATTTTTTATATTTATCTCTGGAGCTGCTACCAGCACAATGTGACTTTGTGGCACTGTAAATGAAATGATTTCAATATGTGGGGTCCCCCCTTGTAACTTTGGAACCTCTTCAGGTACAGCATTGAAATTTAAAATTTATGGATGAATTCTCAAATGATGCTGATTGTCATCACAGTACACGTTTTAATCTTGAAATGTCAAAATTATGACATAGATAAAAAAATTTAAATGGCATGGAGAATCGAATGATCCCTCTTTTTAAGAGCTTGTTTAATTCTACTCATGATATCAAAGTTAAAAAAAATATCGATACAAAAAAAACAAATATTTATTGGACACTTGTGTTATCTTAATAAATGCTCCACATGAACCTCGTCGACCCCTTGGTAGCATTAGCAGCTGTTTTTCTGTTTTATTTTAACAACAGTGTTGGAGAAACCCATTTGGAAGATAATAACATCGTCTAATTAGTGTATCGATTTTGTCAAGAACCAAGAAATAATGTGTAGAATTTTTACATGTGTGCACTTTGATGTCATCATTTGATTAGTTATTCACATGTTTTAAATTTTAATGATGTAATTGATGGTTAAATTTTATGATAAAATAGAATATAACACAATAACTATAATTATCCTAGATTTCCGGGAACGATTAATATCAGTTTCTATTTTTTGAATGGAATGTACATATTTTTATGTGCACTTGGTAGACATTTTTCTTGACTTGATTATAGTTCCTGATAAAATGTAATTAATCAAATAACGACTTAACATATATATCAGCCTCTAAACATAATAGAATACTGTTTATAATCCCCGGAATATCTGCTCTTAAAAAAACGTTTTCATTTAAACGTTTTCTTTGTCCCTGGGATAATTCCATTTGATTTTTCGAATCTTCTCTGTTTTTAAGTGAGGCTAAGTAAGATGTTAGCTGGTGTAGAATAGTACCGGTCGTCGAATGCAAACTATTAAAATCTATGTTATTCAAGCATAGTCATAAATAAGGTCAATTAGATTTAAGAGCTAATGAAAATCTCTTTGAATATTTGATTAAACAGGATTTATCATCAAGTACTGGTAAATTTCATATTTAAAGTAAGCAAAATCTTCGTCTTCTTTCATTGTAATATTTTAATATTTTTTCTTATTTTATTACCCAGGAAATTGTCAACCCTATCCATAATTAAATAAACGCACACATCAAACTGTATCACACAAAATGAATATTATTTAATCACCTTTATTACTTTTGTGTGAATAAATTAAAGTTCTAGTTTTCAATCCATTTTAATGAATGATTAATTTCGTGTTTTTTGGAGATTTTCAAACCAAAAAGAATACGAAAATTCTTGTTTTACTTTTTCCCCATGTTTATTTGTCTATAATCTGCCCGTGTTTTTCGATGTTCTTCGCGGTGGTGCAATGTTATAGCCACCCACTCCAGCCACAATAATAAGGTGTGTGCTTATTTGGAACGGCGACTGATTAAAAAACAATGGTCGAATCACAATAACAAATACCTAAACTCGTACTGGGAAATAAGGGGTATTCCCATTAGCATTACCACATATAACAAAGGCATAGATGACCAGAGCAAGCCATAGTCAAAATTCTTAATATGACAGTAATCATAATTAATTTAATTATTTTTCAATAAAAACTACTTTTGTTTAAACAGTTAGTTATTATTTATTTCTTTTTTATTAATTTAATGATTTTGCTTCATTATACTATCCACACTATATATTTAACGTTGCCGTTGGTGAGTATTTTTGTGGGATGTTTTATTTAATAAAAATATCTTAAATGTTTGTCTCATCCCAAAAATAAATTATTATCAACAAATAACTTGCAAATGAAGACCAAAAAAACTTGAATGTAACAGCTTAGGTTTGCATGTTTAATAGAGCCTTGCAGGTGTTAATTATTATTTCAAAACTTCTTTGCTTAGCAAACATTTATTTGCATATGCGTAGACAGTCGACTGTAATATGTACAGGATAACGACTTTTGCATTCCTCAGTATGAACATGAATGTATAAATTCTGTGTAAATGGTATCTCTAAAGTACGTTTTTGGTATACTAAAGTAGATAGAATGTATATAGACACTTTATATTTAACTATTAGTTATTAAACCTTTTGAAACTGATGCATAATAACTAAATATGATCAACGCGACTGCATTATTTATTCGCGAATAGTAAATCATACAATATTTTGTATGAACGAGACGGCAAAACATCATCTATATGTATGACTACTTTGAAATAAAATTAATTAATAAAATACCCGATTAAATTTGCCCTACGACCGAGCTCACGAATCTATAAATTCTGCCTTACCTATCTATACGCTATGGAAACCATTTATTTAACATCCATATATGTCAAATTAACTTTTATTTTGAGGAATTTTTTTAACTACCTACTTTATCTGATTATGTTTGGTGGTTGTTTATTGCTAATCTAAATTATAGTTTTCATATATTTTTTTCTAGCCGTGATATAGTCGCTAATTAAAGAAAGGGATTATTTGATGTTTCGGATACCGCTTTTCCATCTTCAGAAAATGTTTTCTGATAAAATTAGAAATGCTGCAAATTTAAAAGTTTATTTAAAACAATGTAAAGTGTAATAGTAACGAAGAATAAACGTTTTCTGAAGATGGAAACGGTGATAAAAACTGTTTTTTAAATTACGATCCCTCAAAATCACTCCAAATGACAACTACTAAACGCAAGCGCAATGGTCTTGAGTTAGATTTAGATATGCGAATATGAAGTAGAAGTAGGTAGGTAAAAATATTTGCTTATGAAGAACATTGTCCACCAATTTAAGTAATAATAACGAACAGCCTACTTTAAAAGATTTGAATTTAAAATAAAATATGTTGTTAATTATTATTATTATACATTTGTTGTGATCAAGTTTAAACAAGAATCCATGTGGTTAAGTATCTGTTCATGTGGCAGATATCAAGCTGTGTGAAAAAAAAAGTTTCTTTATTAGTATTATTTTCCTCATAAATAAATTTTTAATTGTGGCATTATGAAAAGAAGTGCCCTTCAATTGTGTAATGCTGTTTTGAAAAAACATTTCTAAATATTTAGTATAAAAATTATTGTTGCGAATTAAAATTATGTCTTTTATATAAAAAAATTAGTTTCTCATGATGCGACTCAAAAAAATCAAAATTATTGTTATTTCAACAGAATTTTCTTCGCTCCTGAAGTACAATCAAGCAAATCCATTTTCTAAGATAACTATAAAATTTGGGTTTGCAATTTTTTTTATTGTTCAGTCTCTCTAAGTTACAAATATGCTTGCAGTGCTTTATAGCAAGTATTAAACACTGGACTTTTCGGTGCTTTCAGGCAACTGTGTTGATATTGTTTGGCCTAATAACCCTAGATGTAAGTCATTGTAAGACTGGCTAACCTACTGCTCTCTCTCTTCCCTCTCTCTTTAGTTTTTTAAATTTCAGTGTGTTACAGTTTCTATACAAAATTCGGCTTGCATTTGAAAAACAATACTTTCTTAATTTGTATTCATATTATTTGTTATCGAAGAAATAGTCTTACAACGGTTACTAAATTCTTCAAAATGTTGATTACAAGTAAATTGTAATCCGATAAAAAATACCTCATTCTGTACATGGTTGTTTGCTTTGACTGACTCTTGTTGCGGCTATAGGAAGCAGTAAAATAACCATAAAAAAGATGCTTTAGTTGACCAATATAACCAGACATTTAACCCCATTCCCTACTTTAGTTGTCTACCAAGTATTCCAAACAAACTCATTATTTTCTATATATAGTAGTATGCAGTAATAATACTGCAACTCGCTACATTCCAATGGAGGAGGAATATTTTCCAATAATTTGAAAAATGAACTAATTAATCACAATCATAAACAACCAATAAAGTTTAAATGTTTCGATAATTTCTTAAATTTTAAGTAAATTGGTACCAATTACGAATGCAAGTTTTTAATAATTTAAAAAATAATGATGTAATAAATTTGTATTACCTACTTTTTATTCGTGAGTCCATTATACTTCCACCATAAAACACAACAATGGTTTACTTTGAGTGGATAAATTCCTGATAAATATATAAATAATTGTTTTGCTCATTTATCATAACCACTTAAATTACTTGTACATGTACTCGAACAATAATGCATATAAATTATATCTGAATAAAATCATCCAGATAAATACAAATAGTAATAAGTCAATACTACTTGCATGTAATGTAAATACTATCAAATACGTGTTTTTACGTATTATGAAGAGAGTGTAACCAAACAATACAACATAAACTGTAGTTTATGTTTTGTACCTATCCTTGAACAATAGAATAAAACAAACAATAGAGTCAATAAAATAAGATAACGCATTATTTTAATATAATTTTATCAGTATTAATAGTCATGTAAAATTCATAAGTTTTTATGTTCCATTAAGGAAGGAAATATCACATGAATTTATACATTTATTTGCGAATCTAACACATAATAAAATTGTTCGTGTCAAAAGTGAAGGTTATCCACTGTTTTTCAGTTTTAATTGTATGATTGAAAATTGAATTGTTTTACAGCTTTGGTCACTTAATCCAGTTTGATCTTAACTTTGAAAAGTTATTTTAGATGAGATTATTAAAAATTAAATTGGTTTCAACAACTTTGTTTACTTAACTGCGAGTAATCACTACAATTGTTCGTACTCAGCCGCATGATTTCGTAATACAATCACTAATAAACTGAAAGCAATGCCGCAAAAAATAAATAAATATTCTTTTACGAGCGTTAACTTAAATACAATTTATCATAAATAGTAAATTATTAATAATCACATAACTTATGAATTTGCATAGAAAAGATCACACCTTCTACTGGCAACTGAGAACATCTAATTGAATTCTCCGCTTACTTAATTACCTATAATTAATTTTTTCAATCGATAACTTCGGAGCGTTTCCGTAATGTAAATGAGTCTTCTTTTCGACTTGATAATCAGTGTCAGTAATCTTTAAGAGGAACAGGTCTGGGTCACTGCAAGATTTCACTATAAAACGCACGTTTACCTTCAACAGTTCTCAGTTAATAATGGCATTACTTTTAATACTTTTCGCGTTGGCCTTTAGCAGCTTCATTGCTTATTGCAAAGTGTACGATCGGTGTGAATTAGCACTCGAATTAAAAAATGTTCATAAATTCCCCGACGACCAACTAGCTACTTGGGTATGCATCGCAAAACATGAATCAACCTTTAACACATCAGCTGTTAATCAAGGTAGTGGAGACCATGGTTTGTTTCAAATCAGCGATCTATATTGGTGTTCACCTCCTGGTAACGGTCATGCTTGCAATGCACCGTGTTCAGCGTTTGAGGACGACGACATAACCGACGACATTGCTTGCATCAGAAGAATATTTAGGGAGCATTCAATCCTATCTGGAAATGGATTTAATGCATGGGTCGTTTATTCGTTGTATTGTAAACATGATGTTTCAAAATATGTTGAAGGATGCTTTGATAATGAAATCTATGGTAGTCAGACGACTACCTCTACTACAGCGGAACCTGAAGACGAAGACGATGTTTATGAATTTCCACCTTTGCCAACACCTCCCAAAAAGACGAAAATACAAAAAGAACCTTTCAAAGCTGTTGTATCTTCTACTGGACGACCGAAAACGGTATCTGCACAATACCAAGAAGCTTCTAAACTGTCTACATATTCGAAATATTCATCAGTGACGACAATCAGGCCAACAGCTAAGCCTTTTGTAACCCTTAAACCAACGAAAGAAGCAAAAGTGTTGAGAAACTACAAACAAAAACCGTTTTCTACTTTTAAAGAAGATTTGTTTCTGAAAAATAATAATAGATTATCGACTTTACGGCCTCCTGTAAAATTCAGTGATTCGACTCGATTACGTTCCACTGCTAAGCCATATTCATTTACTACTAAATTAAATGGTTTTCGAGGTTCAACTACACTTAAACCGTTGTCATTTATTTACGAAAATATTCATTCGGATCGCAAACGAGAGCAAAATATAGTGGGAAAAGAAACTGCCCAATATTCATTTTTATGGACAGCAAATGGTTTCCGAATGGTTAAAAATTAGTTTTTTAGACACATTATAATTAATTTTTACGTATTACTAAGAACTGCCAAATAATTTTAATTGTGAATTAGTTTTAAGTATTAATTTTAAGGTGCTCCAGTTTTGTTATCATTCCCTCATTTACTGTATGGTGCTAAGGAATACATGGATACTGTGGAGGGCTTGGATCCTAATCCAGAACTGCATGAAACATTCGTCATACTTGAACCGGTAAGTCAAATTCGTTTGTGTTTAATTGTCCTGAAATAGTGAAAATACTTAGTAAACTGTAGGCAGAATTTTTACTACAATTTCATGGCAGGTTATCTGTTAAAAATTTAGACTAAACTGGTTTACCAAACAAAAGTACAAATACTTGTAAACTAAACTTTTATACGATATTACTATCATTGAAGTAAACATTACCCTCTATAGATAATAACTTTCGAACTTATCAAACTAATATTTTTAAATATGTTGTCATGTGAACTATACGGTTGTAGTTATAAAGTATTTATAATTTTTTTTATTTCGATAACTTTATTTTAACGTTTTTTTCCTAGGATAAAAATATATTTTAATTTTACCTTAATTACTTTCGTAGAAGAATTAAGAGAAAGAAAATAAAGACAATATACCTGTCCTATAAAGCATTTTTTTGCACTCATGTACATGTATTTTTTTTTTTAGATCTCTGGAGCTCCCTTAAAACTTGCAAAAAGAGTCCAATTCAATATGTTCATTAGGGCAGTACCAGATATTATTAGCATTGAAAATGTCACCAACTCTGTGGTACCAATCTTTTGGATAGAGGAGGTAAGAATTAATAAGTGCCAAAATTCATTTCTTTACATTTTAAACGGTAAACAACGTCTTTATATGTCATGAATGACTTTTTATAATAATTGTTAACTGAAATATAGTATGGTTTTAATCGCCATTTATCAAATATATAAAATGATTTAAAACTGTTTCTCAAACGATTTCAGTTAATGATAAAAATATTGGTAGTATCGTTAATAGGTTGTTAATACTAGATATATTTTTTTACAGTCAATGATTCTTGATGACCGTTATATTGCTATAATAAAAGATACTCTGTTGAAAAATTTAAAAATTTTGGATATGATTAAGTGGGGAATAATCGGACTTGGAGGCGTTGCTCTTGTAGCTCCAACAGCTTTGATGATTTACAAAAATTAAATTAGGTCAATGTTTAGGAAATGAAGTTTCTGTGTGTACAAGATTTATTAATGTGTAATTGTAATATAGGTTATTATCTATGAAATGACAAACAGATGTTTATGTATTAACTATAATGTATTTTGTATGTTCAAGTGATTTATTTATATGCACCTCAAATGAAGTCAATTGTATTCATAATACGTTTTATATCATCTAATCTAATGGATGAGTTCATACCTAGTACAGGAGTTTGTACACTTCACAAGGAACATATACTTGCTTGGTACATGCTTAATTTAATGTTACTTAAATTTTGTATGGTAGTAGAACTAATTTGTAAATAGATCTTTACTTGCTTTCACTACCTCTTGTGTTTGGTACACTTGTATCTGAGTTCTCAACCATTATCTTTTTTCAAAGTTTACTATATGTAATATGAAGATATAACAAAGTATGTTTGTTTTGTCAAAGAAAGCACCTTTTAATAGTTGTTCAGGTTATTACAGAGTTATGAACCACCGTACATGTTAACTAAGAAACATTATATCCAAAAGTCCTTATTCATAATTAATTAAGATCTTATGTATAGATAATTTATTTAATATATTTTTCAAGTTGTTAAATGAAATAATGTAATAAATAACATTCTAATTGTAAGTGTGCATATGTGTATGGTAAAATAAAATTTTAAAGTATACTTTTATTAATTTTTCCATTTATTGCATATAAACATGGCTATGTTTCTAATATCATCGACATAATTGTCCTATTTCCTATCTTGTAAGAACAGTGTTCTGAACTTGCTATTAACAATGGGAAATAAGAAACCCAAGAAAAGCAGCTGCCACTGGATGATCAATTGAAATATAGGATGTTCAAAAAATGGCCGAAGTTCGAGGAAAATCATAAAAATTCTTTACGTCAATTTGACATTTATTTAGAAAAACAAAATGTCGATTTAGACAGATCGATCAAAAAACCTGAAAATTTAGCCAGTGATCAGATTCGTCCTAAAATTTTTTTTTTGTAAAGCTATGAAATGAAGAAATCTATGGATAAAAACATGATTAGATAGATATTTTGAATATTAAAATATAGTGAAATTTCAAAAAATATATTTGTATAATAGCTACATAAACTTTGAAGGGCTATCTGCTACGTTTAAACAAAAATTTTTTTTTAAATTATTTTTTCTCTGCTCTATAAATGGTCCTGAGCAATGTGTCATAGAGTTGGTGTCCCATTTTTTGAACATCCTGTGTAAGATAATATGTCGAAGTATCAAATTCACACGAATCGCGAAGTTTCCGAAAACAAGCAAAATAATTAGAGAACGAGAACAAAATATAAAATATTAATATAATTAAAGCAAAAACTATGTATTACAAAGGAATCGGATTAACAGTGGTTCGGGTTCGGAAGCCTCCCAAGACCCAAAGTCCACCTGAAATATCTACACGTTGCGATCTTAAACTACGCTTCCAAAGTTAGGTATATTGTTGAAAGATATTTTTTTCTGATTTTCAAAATTTTTGAGCAGTTTAATTTGAATTAATTAAAATATCCCAACATTTTTTAGCGCAGTCTATATATTTCAATACAAGATTAAAAAAAATATAAGAAAAAAAAATTCGCATTACTGAAATTGACATACCTAATAAAAAGAAAACTAGCTTTCTCCGGTAAGTACTTAAATCAACTGAAACAAAAAAATGTTTTCGTCTTTGTATTGTAATACTGCTAAGTAAAAAGAGTAATCTATTACACAAGAGAACAAAGAAAAATTGTATGCGGCATTAGTTTGATTGTACTTTTAGTTAATGCTTTTGTTATAAGTAGATAGTAGTATGATGTGAAGTCAAAATATTTGAAAGGCCCTAGTTCTTTCCAGGTATTGGTTGGTAATCCATCATCAACCCTACAGGAAAAAGTTTGCGGTATTAGGTCGGATTTTTTTCCCAGACAGTTCTTAATTTCAAATAAAATTAAAAGTAGGTGATTATTTTTTATTTAGAAAAAATCGTAAATTTATAGATAAGTAAAAATTTCCGGACTTCTCGTAGTTCCTTGACCTCGTTTACCGCCTCGGTTGGAATTTCTATCAACATCCGGAAATATTTAACTGTTCCGATTAATTATATTACAGAATTTACTATTCTTGCATAGGCATTTGGACATATTTCCTGACGATATCAGCGAATACAGCGAAGAATAGGGAGAACGTTTCCACCAAGACCGGTGAAAAAGCAATAGGATTACTCTTGGACTTTACAAAGAGATTATTATGATCAGAAATACATATGTATTGCTGAAAAATCCTACAAAAACCGTGTTTCTCAGTTTTTAAAATTAATTAATTAATAACAATGCATGTCTAACATTGCAGTTTAGTTTTAAAATAACAGTGTTCGTACATTTATTATAGACTTTTGTTCGTATAAGCAAGTTGCACTTACATGTCTTAAAAACTAGAACCAGTTGAGCAAATTTAATATTTTTTTCATATTCAGCAGACTTAAATACTTGGTTGCCTCAGGTTCACTGTTCCCCGGTGTTATCACATTTTTTTTTGCATCGACGAAGGACTGATGACTTCGGGAAATTAAAGTGATATATTTTTTTATTAATTAATTAATTAACTGGTTGGATGTGGTGTGAACTTCAGTAATTATTGTTGTTTCGTTTAATCGTTAAATATATACAATTCAAGCGGTGACATGTAGATAAAAACTTAAAAACACAAATTCCAAATATTATTAGCAGAGTGAACTTTATATCTATATCTTAAAACAACGTTCTCAACTTGAGGAGCGTGACCCCTTAGGGGGGCGCAAAATAATAAATTCTCAGCTATGAATTTAAAACTATTCTGATTTTAGACAAAATTAAAAAGACTGTAAAGACATGAGATGCGAAGAAAAAAACAATTTCGGTTCAATACTAAAAGGAAACACTTAACTTTAGCAAAATGTAAAGTTGCAGAAGTAAAAAACTTCAATTGTCTGTAAGTATAAGGCCGTACCGAAAACATCTTTGTAATTCTCTGTGTAAATAAATTAGACACATAAATTTAGTACCGAAACGAAATTGGGTTATCCTCGATCTAAATAAGAATTATTTTTAAAATGTTATTTCTCTTGACGTTTTTTCGTGATTTCTCAGGAAATTGTGACACAGTAATGCAACGTAAACATAATTTCCAACTCTTGGTTAAAAGAACGATGCCGAGGCAAAAAACCCGAATGATGTAACTTATTTACTCAGTAAACTTTTTCACTTCAAAAATTTGTGGAAGGTTATTTCGACAGAAATTCCTTCGCGTCTGAAGTACAACAAAACATATCCATTTTATATTTTTAAAGGAACCTCTATAAGTTAAAATAAAGATTTGTATGTAACGTTAAAGTAAATAAAAGAAGCGTGCTACCCGCATGTTTCAAATGAATATTTCTTTTACAAAATTTTGTGTTGACGTTATCAACATTTTGCACATGTATCAATTTGACTAGATGTAGTGTAATAATAACAGTACTGTAATCCCAAATTTTCGGGAAAATTAGTGAGTCGTTTTTTATTTAATCAGTACAATTAATTTTTTTTTTTTGGGTCACTTGTATAATTAATCTTTAATTTTTAAAACGATGAGTGCACTGATAAACCGCAAGTCTAGTCATAATCTTTTGCATATTTCAGGAAGGATTTATTCGTCAAAATTTTGAGATGACGTCATCCATTTTTTGGAAGCGAATAAACGAATAAATTTTAATTAACGATTTAGCATGATTACGATAACCTTACAACGTGTGCAAGATTTCAATGCATTCAGTTTTACAGTTTGAAAGTTAAATTACAAAATGTTACATAATTTTAATTTTTTCCCCAAAAATCTGCATTTATATTTTAAAATTAAAAACAAATTTACTATTGTAAATTTTGGAGATGACGCCATCCCATTGACGGTGGGGATGATTAGCTAAATTTTGGTTAACATTGTACAATCTGTATGATAGTCCTATATACCTATGCATATAAAATTTGACAACAACGGTAGTTTTAAAGATTTATCTATCTAACAAAAATTGACATAGACAAACAGACGACAGACAGACAAAAACGGGGGACCACTTTTTTTCTTACTCTAGGGGTCATTACACAAAATATAAAATTGGCAAGTGGCTCGATGAGCTCGATTACTATACTACCCTAGCAGGAAGTAAAATTGCTTGGTAAATTAAATACTTCAATAAAATCAAACATTAAAAAAAACTGTTGCTTATACATCAATTATTTGCATTAATTTTGTTCCGTTATAGAGAAGTGTTTCAAATGTTTATCGAAACTATACCGTGGAAGTGTCGTTAAATACAAACAATGTGTATTTGTTGAAATTTTCACTACCCCTAATTCTCATTAAGTTTAACATCAACTGTAGCATGTTATTTAACGTGAATTAACTATTAAATGTATCAAATAAGCAACAAAAATGTGACTAAGATTTCTAACATTTCTTCAAACATAGGTGTGAATACTTAATATAATATCTTAATGTTCAAATAGTAAAGGCAAAATATCGTCATTTCGTTCTTGGAAAATTTTCATTAGCTTCCTTGTTTCCAAATTCTAAGAAAAACACGACTTCGTAATTATGATAAGTGTAACTTTGTCTTCAGTACTAAAAATAATTTTATTATCTTTGCATAAACACACAATTTAAATAACAATTTGTAGCCATAAATAAAATATATAAGTATATGCATAAACTGCATTTATTACCGTACAATATTTTCAACTTAGATATTACTGTAACAAATAAATATTTTATGACTGGAAAATACCACCACGAGGAAAAAATAATGTAGAAAGGACAAATCGTGGTTCCTCGAAAAGAGCAATAACCGCGCATAAAAAAAACACGTATGTTTGTATTATCAGATAATGGCGGGAACTCCGACCACTATCTCTTTTATTTAGCTTGACACTTCTGCACATGGAAACCACTACAAAAAAAAAACCAAATGAAACGCATATAAAAAGCCTATTTCTTTTCGAATTTACACAATTAAGTTTTAGACATGAATCAGATTACAACATTGTTCGTGCTGGTGGTAGTTTTGCTGTGTGGCAGCAAACTAGAAGCAAAAATTTTCGAAAGATGTGAACTTGCAAGAGCTTTGAAATATAACTACCACATTCCTGCTCATCAGCTGGCGACCTGGGTGTGCATAGCAAACTACGAATCGCACTTCAATACTGGTGCTATTAACACTCAGTCTGGGGACCACGGAATATTTCAGATTAGTCAAATCTACTGGTGTTCAAATAGCAACTCGCCTGGAAAGGGTTGTAACAGTGTGTGTTCAAGATACAGGGATGATGATATACGAGATGATGTGGCCTGTATTAAGAAGGTTTTCGCTGAACATCAAAGACTGTTTGGAAATGGTTTCCACGCATGGACAACGTATAAATATTGTCAATCTAACGTTAATCAATTTATTGCAGGGTGTTTTTAAGTAATGTAATTTAAGAATAAGTCTATTTATTGCATTGATATTATGTACGTTTTATTCTTGCTTAGTGCATCAAATAAATACTTCTCCTTTTGTATACAAAATTAATATTTTTACGTAGATAACAATAGCAAGGTACTTTGTCATAGTCAAAAATAAGCTCTGATAAGAATATGAAGATGTTCTACATTCATAAGTGTTGCCTATTTTCGTAATATTATCAAAGGCAAGGATTTTGATTTGCTTGTCGTAAACACTTCATCTTTATATTGTTTAAAATAGATAAACAAAAGGCACTTAATAGTTTCTCGACAGTATAAAAGCTGCTGAATGTAATTCAGCAAATTAGTAGTATTTGGCTACCTTGATCAAAATGAAACTTCTCCTAGCTTCTGTTCTATTAGTCGCTTTTTTGTCTCTCAGCGAGGCGAAAATTTTCGGTAAATGTGAATTTGCCAACACCATAAGGGGCTTTGGTTTCCCTGAGGGTGAAATTTCGACCTGGGTATGTATTGCCAACTACGAATCTGCTTTCAACACTGATGCCACTAATACCGTGACTGGTGACCATGGAATTTTCCAAATAAGCCAAATTTACTGGTGCTCTACTGGTGACAGTCCCGGAGGTGGATGCAACAAAAGATGCGCTGATTTCCACGACGATGACATTAGCGACGATGCTGTCTGCGTTAGGGTGATCTTTAATGAATTCGTGGGTATGACTGGAAATGGTTTCGATGCTTGGACTACATACGCAGCATACTGTAACGGAGATAACTCTGGATGGCTGGATGGCTGTTAAAGTTTAAATAAATTTTCTATAGAAAAAACTCCCTAAAATGATTTCCTGATTTTTGTAACCCATTAAGACCGACTAGTAACAACTTTTCTTCTTGCTCCATATTGCAGATTTCTGCATTTTTAGTTTATTTTAACTGTCTTTCTGAACCTTATACCTATTTTTGAGCCAGGTGTCAGTTTACTAAACCCTTACGCCGCCCCCATACAACGCCAATGGGTTTTCTCGAGGGCATTCTAGTATGTACGGCGATGATGGGTGACTCATCATCGGTGACTGCGGCCGGGCAGCGTTCGCATAAAGAAAAGCCTGGAGCGAGTCGTCGGTGGTCTTTATTGCGGGGTCCAGAAAAACCTGGAAGCGACGTTTACGTACCATCCAGAGGAAAGTATGGGTTTAAATAGAGGCCACCTTCGGGGACGGATTATTCAGTCTGTTCAGTCAAGACATAGTTCAGTCAAGTAGTGCCGGAATTATTTTGTACATGGTCGCTGTATAATTAGTCATGTAAATTTGGAGAAATAAATTCTTGAGTTTTACCCACGACGATTTTAAATACCCTTCCAACGTAACAATATTTTCTATTAAGGATTTATTACTACGAAACTAGTGTTCCTATCAAGATCAACTCAGTCCTTGTTTGAAATATAATTTCGGAAAAGGAATTTCGAAGATCGTTATCAGAGATTTTTCAGGTTCGTTTATCGATGGTAAAGTCTCTCAGCGCCAGTGCCCACGTGTTCATCGGTTTAATGAACACGATTCTGACGGTAACTTTAGATACATTTGGCAAGCTCCCGTTATACTGTGACAATCTGGACCTGACGGTGGAACAAGATATGAAATTTGTATTCAAAGATTTAAACACTCCGAACATCCCCAAAGCCCTCTCAACTGAGAATTTTGGTTTACACATATTGAATGGTTCGCAGTGTCATTGCTGGACAAAATTACTCAGAAATTAAAGTGCAGCTAAAAAAATGACTTCGGAAGTTGTCTAAGATATGATCGCTAGGGTCAAAGTCGGTTAAGAAAAGTGGAATAAAGAAAACCTTTTGCTATATTGTAAATATTTTTTAAAAAGCTCAATACATTCGTTAGCTGAATGTTTATAAACTAAAAAAGTCCCATCATGTACTTTAGTTAAACCTACCCATTAATAAGAGTCATAAACTTATAGTAATAGGACAAACGTCTTCTTTCTTTGAATACATAGATAAATTAACTCTGATTTTCGAGAAATTTCTTTGCCAGAAAAATTGTGTTGCCACAACCCAGGTATTCTAACCTTCTAGCACGGAATCGGTTGTGTAGTAAGTGTCTATGTTAAATTATAATATTTTGAATAAAAACATAACGTACATACATAAGGTAAAAATACATGTAAAAATCGCCAAAAAAAGACAGACATTCAGAAATAGAAAATCAATTTTTTATATTCTAAAAGTTATCTAATTAAAAAAATTGTTATTTTGTACTAATACGTCTGATTATTTGGAAGTCCAAACCAGAAGTTACTTCCACCAGTTAATCCACTGAACATAATAATATCGATAAAAAACAACAACAGAAAAAACAACGACTGTAGAATTCATAGACACTGATGAAGTTTAGAAATGCTTGGGCTTGAATACAACTTCAAGAATTATAATAAGAGAAAAGGCTACAAAAGTTTCAAAAATGCCGCAATAAGGACATAGTCGTATACGCGAACCCACTTATTATATTCATTTGAGATTATCAATTATTATAGCTCTAATGTACCCGAAGAATTAACGAATATGATTCAATATAATATAGCGTTTATCTCCACTACACCGAAAATACACTAAATGTTTGTTGACACGTTTCGCCAACAACATTGGCATTATCTAGACAAAGCTAAATTAAAGTTATCAAAAAGGCTCCTGAATATGATTCAAACAAAGTGTCCAAACTTTAGAAAAAAGCATCACACACCCATAAAGAACATTTTAATTTAAAAAGAAGAGGCTAAATGTCCCCTCTTACTTTTGATGTAGACGACTTATCTAATGAGATAAGCCGTCTATTTCGAAAATACCTATTTATTTATCGTAAGTGGAGGATTAACAAGACTGCACGTTTCACATCCAAAATTTTTCACTTGAAAATATGCAGCCAATATTACTAGAATCTGTAAGTTCCAATAGATTGATCAAAGTTGCTTATGATATGTATAATGTATTGCTTACACGAAAGTATTCAGGCGTGAAAAGATAAAATAAGCACCCTGTACGTTTTTTAATAAAATTTCAATAACAGTTACTATGCCCACTTTTGAGGTGACGTGATCAGTCTTGGCAGGAATAATGAGACATGGAGGTAGAATTATATATATCAACTTTTTAGACCGTAGCAAGCCATGAAAAACTAGTAACTGAGTTCATGTTCAACATTAGAAAGCTAAAGTTTTTTGTGAAAGACATTTTTTATGTTGATCTGAGTTGCCACCTTAAATATCATCAAGAAACATTAAACTAATTAATTAAACACTCAGAACTTGATAACTTGAAAATAAAGAACTTTAGTCTATGATCAAAATTAATATGTATGTACAATGATAATATCCCAAGCAAAAAAGGTATTTATTCAAAAAAATATAAAATAAATCTTGATTGCAAAATATACTTTTAGGTTGATGTTATGCATGTAGGTTGTGCTCCTGAGTCAAGGAGAGTTAATTGCAATTAAAATGGCAACTAATATAATAATAAAAATAGTAACATAAAATTGATAATTACATATCCTTTTTACTTGCCAAGCGCCTTGTATAATTTTATGCTTTTCTACAGCGTGTACCTTTGTACAAACGAAAGTCTCAGACCACACACCTGGGACTAAAGTGTAGACCTTCTGTCTCAGCTTTTCTGTTGGCAAAAGTATTAGAAATTTGTTAGATCACCCCAATAAAAATTTGATGACATCATTTCAAAATTTTGTTAAATAAATCGAACTTGAAATTTGCACTATAACTGGTTTGTTTATTTGTGGTTTAATAATGTGTCCACATTTTTATTTTTAACTACAGTGGCGTGGTAATAAAAATATAAAATATGGTGACAACTGTAAAAACGATTATATAATTACGGTGATTTAGTAGTCAGTATCGCCGTATATCATGCGAAGATCAGTGTTGGATTTACCACTAGATTTTTTTTAAGTACAATAAATTTCAAATCACTACTATTATTATTGTATTCTTTTTGCCAGGCACATTTTATAATGACGTTATAACTTACATGGGTGTTGCAGGTCAACATAAAGTACTATATTCAAAATAAAGGTTTGAATTTTATTTTAATTAACATTTTCTGAAATAATATCATCGTTTTGGAGAGGACGAATAGTCTTATTAAATATTTTGGAATTACTGAAACAATGTTGGTAACCCTTCAAGAAATAGGACTCATCCAGTTTGTTGAACAACTTGTAAAATTTGATTCTACAAGTTTAATTTTTTTAAACAAAATATCCTGTAAGATATGCAACTTGTACATTAGAATTGTATTCAGGTGTGAATACTTGACAACAAGTATAAACAGCGTATTTTCTACTTTTTGTAGTCATTTTGTACAGATTTCACCAATAGAGTGCGCTCATTTTACAGTTCTGCTAATTTAACTACTGTCAGTGACTATGTATTTAACATCTATACTCACTGCTACTGTCTTGTTTTAAAACATTGTGGACCAGTGACGTGGCAGACTGGCCATTCTTAAAATAATACTGCTAACTTATAATTTCTATACGACAATATGGTTCAAAAATTTTTTGGCAGATTTTGTCTCGATCGTGGACATAAAAACTCAATTTCAGTGAAATTATTTTTTCTTTTCATCATTTATGTTTGAATTCCACCATTCTCTGTTTTTTCTAAGAGCTACGATAAAGGCGTTAATGATTCAATTAAAATTATATTGTCAAAAATGACAAGTCACAATGATAAGTCAAAACCTTCTATGATGTATCTAAACTTTTTAACCAAAATAACTTTTACTTTTTAAACCACAAATTAGCAATTTATTGCAAAACGTGGTAGTGGAAATTAAAGTAGAACCCTAAGGCTATTTCCCACGCAAAAATCATCTCCGGGTTTTCAGCGGAACAAAAGTTAACATGGGGTATAAAATTTAACAGGAGAATCCTTATTCGTTATGGCTACTTTTAAAAAAGATGCACTGTACATGTATTTTCTATGTTAATTAATTATTACTGTAGAAAACAAAATGATAATGAACCGTTAATAAAATATGTCCAGAAAGCAATTAAATACACGCTGCTTTGAAATGTTTGCAATAAAAAAATGGGCAATAGCTTACAATAACATTTATTGCACTGTGTAAAGTTCACGTTCCTAAGTGGTAACAATGTCTAGAAAAAAATATTAGAAATTAAATATAAATTGTTATACACGCCACTGGTAGTGTTTCTTGACCTACCATAACTACTACAACAAATGCCACCCCGAACGATTAGTATTAAGAACCAAAAAAGCGGCGCACTGATAAACAACGTGCAAAAACACATTAATTGCCAGTCATGTTTCAATTGGTTGCTGTCGTGTGCTCGGTTAACATCTTTAACAATGCTGAATTTTTCCAATTCAGAGCGTGTCGACATGGTAATGCTTTATGGTGCGGCTCATGGAAACGCCAGGTTGGCCCGTGAATCGAGCGCTTTCCAAATTGCACAATTCCGTGTGCGCGAACATTTACATCAGTGGTACTGCAAGCTGAAGAACAAATTTTGGAACGCGTGGAAGAAGAGCCCGACATCAGCACTCGCCGACTTGCAGCTGAAGTTGGAGTTTCACAGTTTTTAGTGCGTCTTACATTAAAAGAACAAGGCCTACATCCATACCAAGTTCAAAATGTGCAAGCTTTGGAGCCTGCTGATTTCCACTGCGAATGGTTGTTGCAGCAATGTCGTGAACGCCCTAATTTTTTAAGTTGCATTCTGATTACTGATGAAGCAGGATTCACTCGCAATACTGTTTTCAACAGTCACAACACTCACACGC